GTTATCTCAAACGGCTACGGAGATATAGCTATTGATTTTTGAACATGCTCCATGAGTGTGACGGAAAAATATCTGCTGGTGGAGTTACCCGTTAGATCCGATCTCTGCTATATCTCCGTATCCGTTTGAGATAACCCCATCAAACTAGTATTATTGGGATTTGTAATCGTAATCACTCTAACCGATCATGGAATAAAATATAGGGTGTTCCATTTGAAAATCGAAGGTTGATGCCCGTTTCCGCTTCAAGGTGTCATCTTTGGGATATAGTGCAAATTTCTACCGTCATCTGATAACGAAATGATATATTTCCCAAACGCATGTAAAATCATTGTATTATATCGAACGGCACATGTGCCAATCATTATCCGGAGCAAAATGATTGAAAAATTGCACTTTCCTGTGCGGAAATTTGCACTCGATTTCGTGGTTTGATAACGAGATGAAAATTATGCCATTCGATACCAATTGAATGGTGGATTTCAAAAATCTACATGTGCCACCCCTCAGCCTGAGCCAAATCCACGGGGCACAGCGATTTATTTGCTCCTATTATTCCGGACATACTCCCGTTATGTGATAACAAGTTGAAACAAGTAGCAAACAAAAGGAGATTATGTCGCCTTTGCGAATATTTTTATTTTTCAATTGCTTGGAGCGCACGAAAGGGAATCCCTATAATGTTCAAAGAACATCGTGCGTTCCTAGGGAGGATAGGGATAGGAGGTGGGTATTGGTTTTTTTTGTACTTCTGGAGATTATATGTTGTTGGGAATATTTCCTCAGGCAATGAATTCCAGAGCCTAGCCGTTCTATGGATGAAGGAGTTTTGATAAAGTGCTGTTCGACATCTTTCGAGGTTGACAACGAAAGGATGTGCTGACTGGTCTTGTCTAGTTCGTCTGACTGTTATTGCTAGTGAAGGGATGATAGAAGAGATTTCCGAAGAACATTTCCCGTGGAAGTATCGATAGAAAAGTGAAAGGTCGCCGACCTTTCTACGGTGTTCCAATGATGTCAAAGAGTGAGTGAGTGTGGCGTCACCCACCAGGCGAACGGCTCTTCTCTGGATGGAATCTAAGAGCATCAGCGTATGTTTTGGTGCTGAACCCCATATGTGGGAACAGTATTCTGGAACAGGCCGTATCTGCGCTTTATAGATCATGAGAAGCTGTTTAGGTGTAAAGTAGCTTTTCGCACGGAACACGAATCCGAGTTTTTGTGAAGAAGCTTCTGCGATGGATCTGACATGACTATCCCATGAAAGAGTGTTGCTGATGGAAATACCGAGCATAGATATGGTGGGCTTGGTGGGGATGGTGGTGCCAGACATTACAATATCGGGCATACTGAGTTCCGCCTTTCTAGAGAAAATACAGGCTTGAGTTTTGGTGGCGTTGAATTCCACTAGGTTGTTGGTTCCCCAGGCTGTGATTTCAGCAAGGTCTTCAATGACAGCATTGACCTGCCTGCGCCGTGAGTTCTTAGTTTCCTGGGAAGAGATGGGAATTCTGGAAGAGAACGCAGTATGGAGGGTACTATCATCTACAAAGCTGTGGATGGGGCAAGTTGTTACTCCCAACAGATCATTGATATGAAGAAGGAATAATGTTGGTGCCAAAATTGATCCTTGTGGAACGCCGGAATTGATGCCAATGGTATGAGACGATACACCGTCCACCACCACATGAAGCGATCTGCCTAAAAAAAAACTGGATAAGAGATGGCATAGCTGAGGTGGTAAGCCGTATGATGGTAGTTTGTGGAGGAGTCCTTCGTGCCAAACACGGTCGAATGCTTTCGATATGTCCAACGCGACAGCTAGAGATTCCCCGTGTTTTTCTATTGAAGATTGCCATAAATGGGTGACGTAGGCAAGTAGATCTCCAGTAGATCTTCGGTGGCGAAAGCCGTATTGTTTATCATTGATGATTCCTGAGCTCTCCAGATATTTGATAAGGTCAATATTGATGGCTTTCTCCATCACTTTGGAGATTACTGATAACAGGGCAATGTAGTTGTTGGACAGGTTTATGTTCCCATTTTTGGGGATTGGTTGGACTCTAGCTGTCTTCCAGCATGATGGAAAAAACCCGACCTGTACGAGACGGTAAACAACTTGCAGAAAATCGGTGTTAATTCTGGTGCACATTTTTTGAGGATAATGGGTGGAATTCCATCAGGACCGTTAGCCTTATTCGTTTTGAGACCAAGCAAAATTCGTCTGATAGTGCGTTTACGTGCCGCGATTGAAACTGATCTCAGTTAGTGGCAGAGCGTCAATACTTCCTTGAATATTTAGCCCCCCTCTGAAGATAATCTCTGATGGACCAGTGTGAAAATCAACATGTGGATTAGAATACTTAGAGTGTGAGCGCCATATAAGTTTCACACTTGTCCATCGGATATTATCTTCCGAAGAGGGCGAAATGTTCACCAAAATATTGACGCTCTGCCACTAACTAAGTCAAAAGGGAAATTTTTCCCTTTCATGTATGTATGTCCGGAATAATAGGAGCAAATAAATCGCTGTGCCGTGGATTTGGCTCAGACTGAGGGGTGGCACAGCTAGGTTTTTAGTGCAAATTTCCGCGCAGGATAGTGATTGGCACAGGTGCCGTTCGATGAACTACTATTTTTACTTTTCTTTGGGACATATATCATTTAGTTATCAGATGACGGTAGAAATCTGCACCCGGCTCTCCAACTAATATGATAATTACAGAAAAATTTGTCCCTTGACAAATTGAAATCGACCTGTCCGAGCGATTTTAATTTTTTTTACGACTTCGGGGATAAGAAGGGTGACAAGTTTTAGCTGGGTCACAACTTTACATATTCGAGGGGAATGTCCACTTTGTAAACTCCGCAAAAGGTTCTTTCATCTAAAACTTGAAATTCTCACAAAAGGACATGAAGGTCTACTTTAAACAAAACTCCAAAATTAGTGTATTTCATTCTTCCAACACAGATGAATAAATTTGTATCTTCGAAAATTATTGAGTTAGTAACGAGACACTCACTTTGGAACACCCCCTGTATATGAGCTGAAGTTTCTCATACGGAAATTCCTATGATTTTCTATAATATAATATGACGAATAAGTAAGTACTCAGAAATAATTGTACAAGGTGTTTCATAATTATATGCGCAGGACTTCAGGATGTGATAGCTCGTCCAAAAATATGAAAAAAAGTTTCAAAAACCTTACCCTCTGAAAAATGCACCATTGTCGAGAAACAAGTAATTGAAATTTGAAAAAAAACTTATTCGAATATCACTGTAACCGTTTATCGCACAGAAAACAGCTTTTGTGAGCATTTTTTAATCATAATAAGCTATGTTTTGTGCAGATTTTTTTTTTCAAGTCATAATTGGTGAAGATTTTGATGGGTACTGAGTGTTTTTCTCCCCAACTTCTACGCCACTGAAAAAAGTACAGTTTTCAGCCACCCATTCGAACAGCCAATGCATTCTACACAAAAAAGATACTCTTGGTCATAAGTTCTAATGTTGATAGTTTTCGAGAAAAGTCAACTTTTATAAGATCATAGTAAATTTTTCAACCGCAACCGCGGACATTTCCATCAATTATTATTAATTCAACTGAGTATGGTTTGTTATTGGTTATTTTTTTATTTTGTTTTTGTTACTATAAACAAAAATGTATATAAATTTTGTTTAATTAGTCGAAGACAATTTTTTTTTTTCAAAATTGACCATGATTTTCAACATAAAAGTGGATTTTTCTCGAAAACGGTCAACTTTAGAGCTTATGACCAGGGGTATCTTTTTTGTGTAGAAAAAATTGACCGTTGGAATGGGCGGCTCAAAACTCAAAACTGTACTTTTCCAGTGGCGTAGAAGTTGGGGAGGAAAACACTCACTACCCCTTCAAGATCATGAGTAGAAAATGCTTACAAAATAGCTGTTTTCTGTGCGATAAAGGGTTTTGAGAGTTATTCGCAAAAATCTTGTTTTTTTTTATTACCACACCCTGTACCTCGAAAATTGTGCATTTTAGAGGGTAGGTTAATAGTATAATAATATGTTTGGACATCCTGAAGTTCTGTGCATATATTATGAAACATCCTGTATATAAAAAAAATTCAACATAATATTAATAATTATATAATTATTGATACATCTGTTTTCAGGCGACTTCAGCATATTCTAGAAACTACATAACATTATGAATTTTGGTGAGTACAGTTTTGTAAATTAGCTAGAACAATGAATCCTTAATTTTATTTGTTTCCACCATTATATTTTTTTCATAATCCACCGTTTGATTCTCTTTTTGGGTAATAATTTGGTAAATTTTACGCACAAAAACGTTTTGTCTCACGAAGGTGGTTCTTAAAATTGTAATCTCTTCCAGTTTATTCTCTCACAAGTAAGTTTTCATAGGTGTATAACTTGTGCTAATTTTTACCGTTCATCACTACGTTGTGTTCCATGGTTAATCTCCAGAATTCATTTTCAAATGCTTATTATATATTGTTATCAAAAAAAAAATAAACAAAACCAAGTCGGTCGACCACTGTTGATAATTTGTGGTAGATCGACTTGGTGTTCTTTGTTTATTCTGTCAAACAAAAAAAACTGTAACACTTTGAAACAGATGGATAGTTTCCATGCTAGGATACTACATTTCAATTGAAATTCGACTAATGTGAAATGAATATCATTGTTTCATATTGTTTTCGTAGTATTTAACATTAGTATGATAATAAGTGGGACACCGTGTATTAGCAATGTTAAATCAGTGAAGATAAATAGCAGTCAGAAAACAGTAACTTATTAGATAGGTACTATTAAAAAATGTTCAAGTTGTTTACTGGCCCATCGAATTATATTAACTGTTATTTTTTACAATCACTTATCTTTTTCTTTGTTCGATCAGCCTTATCATGATATTGAAATTCAGAATAATGTACTTAATAAATTTGGCCACTTGAAATTCATCTATAAAAATGAATTTCACACATTTCACTGCTATTACAGTTTGATTCTTCAGGTCAAAGAGAATCAATCATGGTGAAAGCATTCGTTTTAGCAGTTTTTTGTGTTCTTGCAACTGTGAACTGTGACCTTGTCAGGTAAAAGCTCAGTCGACATCTTGTGAAAACGAATACAAAATGCAATATTCATTCTATAACAATATCAAGAACAATTTTAAAATTCTATAGCACCATTGTAAACATTTTTTTGATTCAATTGAAAATTTCAATAACTTATTGGGTAATACTTCGAAAAAAAGCCTAAACCGAAAGGTTCTCAATTGTATTTCAAAGTCCCTTTTTTGCATACTGACCAAAATGAAGTTGGCGTAGCATATTTTGGTTGGTTTGGTGGCGATTAGCGAATAGTTGAAAGTTGATGTAAATATATCATGAATTTATATCTTTTCATTTTTATAAGTATAGTAGATTTTTAAAAAACGTCGTATGATATACATCGATCAGAGCCTAATTAAATTAAAATTCGAATAGAACACGCGACTATGAATGAATATAAATTATTTTAGGAGTTATTCACCAAAAGAAAATCATTTCAGAATTCAGAACTCCAGAAAGTATCAAGGAATATCGGAATAAATAGTTCGGTATCAAATTGTATTTCAGAATTAATAATCAATTGAATTTCATAAAGCATCAATTATATTTCAGAATATTCAATTTACATCCACTCATCCACATTAATTATGGACTAGGATCGTATACTTCTCCCCGTTGCGGGCTTTGCTTTGTAGCCTATATACGTCCTAACTTTTGAGATACAGCGTGGTAAACTTCTCAAAAATTAATTTAGCCTACTACAATGAAAAGTTAGAGTTCCAGAATACCAAATACGAATACGAAGTTCAAAAACTATGAATTGTATTTTTGTATTTTCTCTGCATTGTGATTGCTATAATCATGTAATGAAAAGCTTTTCTATTTTTTTAAGTGAAAACCGTGCATCAGATTGAAAAAATTGTGATGATCAAATTTGCTTAGAAATGATTTGGAATTTCAGGAATGATACACTAACTGATGCCTCTTGATACAAAGTACATGTATGCCAAATTTCATTAGAATATCTGAAGTGGTATTACAGATATTAATAAAAAACTAATAAGAGAATCGCCTCCCCCAAATAAAGACATCCAATTATGAAACACCCTGAATGTATGTATGAGTTCTCTTCGTGAAACGATTGTCAGCTGGCCTATTGCAACTGAAAATGCTTAGGAGGCCGCAACAGTGACAATCGATTCACGCAAGTCCCATAGATCTTTAGATCTTTCTCTTCTTGGTCATAGATCATCGTTGATGAAAAAATATGAAGGATGACTAACAACATCTGGGTTTTGCATGCAAGATACAGATATATAAAACAACATCGACTTTCTCATAGTATCATAATATATTTCTGTAACGTATCTATCAAAGAGTACCTAGGAATTCAAGGAAGTAAAGGGTTATTTACTCTCGCTAGTAATTTCTTTATTTTACTATAGAATCAGCTAATCTCTTTGCTCAGGTCTATTGAGGTAGGCGACTAAGTTGTAGAAATACGTATTCTATATTTTGTTGAATATTGTCATCTAATGTACATTTTATTATTCAATCATTCAACCACAGACTCCGAGTTTTCGCTTTATTTAGTAATTATTCTTGTTAGATATAAATTTTCATAAATACTTCTCTCACAGTAAATACTGAAACCATACTCGAAGAAAGGTATAGCAAAAATCAATTGTAATTCAGGAAGCGTGAATTGTAATTCAGATTTCTCAAATGAAATTCAGAAAGTGTCAATTGTAATTCAGATTAGCTAATTGAAATTCAGAAAATATCAATTGCAATTCAGGTTAGTCAAGTAAAATTCAGAAAACTTCAGTTGTAAATTAGATTTTTCAATTGGAATTTGGAAAGCGTCAATTGAAATTCGGATATCGTCATTTGTTATTCAGACTACGTTATTTGTAATTCAGATAAGTAACATGAAATTCAGAAAATATCAATTGTAATTCGGATTAGACAAGTGAAATTCAGAAAACTTCAATTGGAATTCAGATTAGTCAAATGAAAATCAGAAAGCATCAATTGAAATTCAGATATCAATTGTAATTGAAAATGTGTCAATTGTAATTCAGACTGATGGATTTATGAAGGTATTCATGTAGAACCAGCTACCTACCTCAGAATTATGGAATTGTTTTCATTGATGGTTTATTGAAATCAATTTCAGTAGGAAAAATGAGGAAGTTATAATAGAAAACGTAATTTCTGAAAAAAATATTGCTTTGTAATTTATTACCTACATTCATTACGCTTGGCTCAACAAGCAAAAAACACTGTTCCATATTTCTGAATTACAAATGGAGCTTCCAGAATTTCAATGGACTATTTCTGAATATCAATTGGCCAATCTGAAGTAAAATTGATATTTTCTGAATTTCAATTGACTAATCTGAACTTCAACTGACACTTTCTGAATTTCAATCAACTAATCTGAATTACAAATGACGTAGTCTGAATTACAATTGACCCGTTCTGAACTACGAATGATACATTCTGAATCACAAATTACACTTTCTGAATTTAAATTGCTGCTTCCTGAATTTCAATTGATTGAGCTGAATAACAATGGGGAAGACCGCTGAGGGAAGAAATCCGAGCAAACCTCTTTCAATCGACGAATCATGATTTACGTTTGATCTACAATCAATATTATGAGTTGAAGTTGAAGGGAATCGAATCTATATCGTTCTGAAATCAGCATATTTCATTCGTTATTTCGAAAAGCCAAATATGATGGTGGAGCTGTGACGTATTAGTCCCGCACTGTAGCTATCTCTCTCTGATACCTCGTCATTCTGCAGTGTTGCAGTGTGATTGGTGAGTTCAAGGACAATAGGCGTGTTGGGACTAAGACGTCGCACCAGTCTCACCAATGAATTGACAAATTTTAAAATGGCGCAGGAATTGTGTGTTTAGAAATGGTCATATTCTAATTTATTTTTTTCATCGTCTTAGCATGAATGAAAAAATTCAAGATTAATTCACTGGTAGTTTTTCAGTATAGAGTTCACGATAATGTCGTTTCAAAAAATCAGTGTTCTCCCCCATTGACTATTTCTGAATTTCAATTGACTGATTTGAATAACAATTGATATTTTCTGAATTTCAATTAACTAATCGGAATTACAAATGATTTTGTCCGAATTACACTTGACGCTTTCTAAATTACAATTGGAGAAGGTGTAGAATTAACTATGTAGTTGAGACCATTTTCAAAAAAGAAATTTCGTCAGAAAATTCAAAAAAAAAACAAAGGATATTTCTAATTATAACATTTGCATTGGTTTTTGTTCATTTTCGAATCACAAAGGGAAATTAAATTTTTTTCGTTGACAATATAAAATATATATTTTTTCAAATTTATTAGGGTTCCTTTGCACAAAATCGATACTGCTAGAAGCACCCTCCGAGCAAATGGCTATCTAACCAAAGAAAACTCCTTGAAGAAATACACCGATGGCTCTGAAGCGTTGACCAACTATATGGACGTAAGTGCAAATTTATTCCTCCAATGATAATAAATGAAATACCGTACCTAGTCAAGAAATGGTTGATTGATTTTAATCGTGAGAACTATCCATCTATACCGTGTGTTCTACTGAGAATGCAACTTTTTTTTCCAAAATACGTACCTACCTATTCAAGCTTTTCTGAAAATTATGGTATTTTGGGCATATTTTTGTTTTCAACTATGCTACCACAGTCTCCCATACTCAACTCCACCTTTTGCCAATGAAAGAAGAACAATTTCAGTAATTTGTTCATTGTCCAATATGGAATTCAACATTAGTTAAACACATTCATCGAAAATAATTAGGTTTGGGAAACGGAAACGATTGCAACAGAAATAAAACCCATTATAAGTTACTGAAAATTAACTCAATTCTCTTCATCAGAAGAATGATTATAGGCCCCACACTCATATCATCACTCTCATGTGATTCTGGAACAACTAAAATCTGATTTAGTGTAGAAGTAGTCTGCGGTCCTAGAAACCATTCGATTTGAAATTTGTTTTCAGCTAAAAACCAACATCTGATTCACCCTTTTTATTTTGCACAATAATGAATCGTGACAAGGACGCAATAAACTACCATTTAAATAGCAGCTTATAAATATTCAATGAATAATCAACTATTCTGAGGAACATTATCTTATTCAAAGTTGAACTATTTTTTGGTTTAACCGGAGTTTTAACCCTATTCATATATTTATCTAAATTTGGATCGCACGAAAGGGAAATCCTTATTAAATTCGTAGTTCTCAGGGAGGATAGGGAGAGAAGGTAGATATTGTGTACGTGTGTTGCAATAACAATAAACTGCTTGGGACTATATGATTTCATGAAGTGACCAATGATCTGTTATGCTAAATTCATGATACCTATTCGTTTGTGGGACTAATCAGCTTCCAAAAATGTTAATTTCCTAATGAGAAAAAATCACGGATTTGGTATAACCACACTCACCGGTAAAAAAACCGGCCAGCAAAAAAATTACCCAAATTGATCGTCCTGTAACTATATTTCCAAAAAAGCAGATGGCTTGATCATTATACAGGGAAAAATAAAAGTTACATATTTTCTTGAGTCAATGATTAAACTTAGCTTCATCATGTCTTGGATCAATTTGTGATTCCTTCTTAACACAATGGTTTTTGATTAAGGACAATATATTTTTTTAAAAGAGAAGATACAAGTGTTTTAAGGAAGTATGGATTTTTCAAATTGGCAGAACCATCGCGTTGAGAAGGGTTCACACTTCCATCCAAAACAAAATAAAGCTCTTTTTTTGGAACTAGAATTCGGGCTCCGAAACAGATACTGAATTTTCTGCTGGCCTTTTTTGCCGGTGAGTGTATAATTATTTGAGGTGTAATTAGAGAAGTTTTCTAGGACATTTATTCCACTTATCATTATTTTTTACAAGAGAAGTTATTGTTTTAGGCTCAATACTATGGTGAAATCACTATTGGAACACCAGGGCAGAAGTTCAATGTTATTTTCGACACTGGTTCCTCTAACTTATGGATCCCTTCCAAAAAATGCAGAATCCTGAACATCGCATGCCGTAAGTATTTTTTCTGTAGTACTGGAACTGACATTTTCACATGGAAAAATAACGTACAAGTCCATAACTAAAAAGTAGCATATTTTCCTCGTTATGGCACAACTAAAGATATGAAATACAATGATTTTTTTTCATTTCAGTGCTTATTGTTTCATCGGTTTCAATTGATACATCTCAGTTCTTGCCTTGTTTCGATTTTTTGAGTAAAAAAAGTCAACTTCTTCAAAATTTCTATTCAGAGGAATAAGCAGGTTATTGTGAATCGGGTTAAATCAGAAGTGACAGTCGGCAGCCAGATGAATACTCAAATTCAAACAACAATACATAATACTCAAAATTCTGAATCATTTCATAAGAAAATGATAGACTTGTGGTAAATAATTTCGAATTGTCTCTTTCTTTCAGAATTCCATAATAAATATGACTCCAAAAAGTCCTCCACCTACCAATCGAATGGAACTGATTTCGCCATCGCATATGGAACAGGTAGTCTAGAAGGATTTTTGTCAACTGACACTGTTCAGGTCAGTTTTTCATCATCTTTACTTATATTCAATAAGATTTTGTATAGAACATACAGCAATGTATTATTATTCGATTTCAATGGAGGCGCGTGCTATGCCCGTCGTTAGATTCTATAGTAACATATAACCATTTATTATTGTTCCAAAATTTTCAACATTTCAATATTCACTTGGCCATTGGAACTTCGTTTCAAAATATTCATCAACAATGAAAAAGATGGCAATATAAATTTACACAGATTGTTGTAATAATTATCCTTTTTCAATAATATGTCTGGATGACGAACCATATATTTTATTTATTATACAAATTAATCACATTGTTACTTGATCATAAAATTATCAATATATACAAAGTTTAGATTAGACATGTCTTCTCCACCACAGATTAACTATTTTTTCTGTTTTATCTTATGTTCCTCAGGTAGCTGGGCTCAGTGCTAAAGGTCAAACCTTCGCCGAAGCCACCAATGAACCTGGAGTAACTTTTGTTGCTGCTAAATTCGATGGAATCCTCGGATTGGGTTATGACACCATCTCTGTCAATCAGGTTAAACCATTTTTCTATAACTTGGTTGAACAAGGTGTTGTATCGGAATCTGTATTCTCATTTTATTTGAATAGGTGAGTAAGGAGTATAATAACATTTTTCAATACAAAAATGCATCTATACCTATCACATGTTCAAAAAATTCCGAAGTGTGATCGTTTTTCCACTTTCATAAAAGTTTTCAGCCAAGGCTACTGCAAATACTAACTCTTATACCCGTTGGAAATGAGTTCCATCCCCTATTACCAATAGAAAACCCTGTATTTCATTGCATTTCTGTATACTTCATCCTTTTTCAGAGACACCTTATGTAGTAATCCATATTCTTGAGATCAACAGTTTATTTATTTTTTTAATGATTTGTTATGAAGAACATTTATACTTTTCCACATGGAAGCATCCCCGTATCTCTTTTTATTCTTTCTTAATTTTTATGTGGTACGAATCTGAAATTCGCAGGAGATACCTACATTCAACTTGGGTAGTGCTGGACACTGCTCTCCAGCAGCAATGGAATCAACGACATTTCTGTACAAATTATATTACGAGCCAAGACACAACCCTGTATCTTCCATAAGTATTGAGGTTTCGAAAATATCTCTTCCTGCGAATTTCAGAATCCGGCATCAATAATTAAGGATGTTGTGACGTTGCTTTCATGAAGTGAAAAGCATATAGGTATAATTTTTTCACGAATAATCTGAATCTGTTTTCATCACCCCATATATAGCGAATTCCATTGGTAAAACTGGCTCGCACTGAGTGCATATATTTTGTATTCCATTGGTAAAACTGGTGTCGGATTTTGAATTCCATTGGAAAACTGGTTCGCATAGTTTAGAGCTCAGTGCACGAGCTCTAATAGGTCGTGCGAAGTCAGTGCAGTTTTGAAAATGGCGGAAACATTGAATATGCATGGTTTAAAAACCTAAAATGAGTGGCAATCTAATCATCATCATCAATTAGTGATGAAAATTTTGAGGTTTCAAGGTGACGGCTCGTGCCCTCAGAACCTGGGTCGGCCATGGTAGATGTTGCTCTAGTTCGTCATCTCATTTTTGTTTTTGATGAAATGATAATAATTGGCTTACCAGATCATCATTGTTACATACTCTTACGCTGGCCATAACTATCTATTTTTCCTGCTGAATCTGAAGCCAGAATAAAAATTTTTCAAGTACTCCTCTAACGCGAAAAAATAACCACAATGACTAATCTGTCTACGCTACGCCGTCCCTGTAACAAGCCACCCCACTCCTTCTTAGTCGGCTGGCCGAGCACGCCGTGTAGGTATCGTCAAAAGTGTCTTAATTCCCGCGAGCTAGTTGTTTCCCGTGATGGATGCATAAATATTATTCAATACCGCTACATCCGTCTTTGAAAGTAGATAATATTCTGGAAGTTTCATAGATTCATGACATTTTCATCAGAGCTTTTTTACGATGTTTCAATACTTGGCTCTTGGGCTGCTGAATTTTTTTCCGCCATAAAATCTAGGCAGTGGTACAGTACATAACAATATCAAAGTATATAACTTATTGTCGCTCAGAAGCACTGAAGGAAAATCAGTACTGAATTCTGATTTTAATGTTTGATGAATTAATGGAAAATTGCAAATTTAATAATCACCAGTCAGTTTTACTGCAAGCATGAACGAAAACATCGAAATTCCTTTTTTTTTTCAGTTCGTACATTTAAACAGAAACTTACAATATAGGAATTGAAATTATAAATTTGATGTATTGGTAAAACAAAAATCCGAGTCAATCCCTATTTTAATAAATATTAGGTCGGATACGGTTCACAGTCCACAGCACACTACGGGTATTACCGTTACGTTGGAAGCTGGCATCGGCCAGCGGAGCTTGGCCGATGCCAGGGTATGCCGCGTATACGCGAGAATTTCGACTTCAAGCGGGGGATCCGTATGCGACGCGTCCAGAGACATGAAACCTCCGATCGGCCGGCCGACTGCAGTTGTAGAGTAATGTAGTAAGCTACGCGAGCGTTTCAACTTGAAGCGGCGTTTTGAAGATGGGATTACCAGATATCGTAGGTCCTGAATTAGTTCGTGATTTTCGGTGTATATTCGTATGGCTTACTCAAAGGTTTCAGTGCACGAAATTCAAATAATAGTGGTAGTGGCATAACACTCATAACAGTAGCATACGAATAATGAAAACAGTTTCGAAAAATAATTTTATTGATCAAATAATTCAGCAGTTTTCTCCAAATTATTTGGTACGGCCCGGCCGACCCTGCCGTCCCTGACGAGCCGTCACTGGTTCAAGAAAATAAGACAGATTACTCCCCAGAATTCATAATTTTGTTGAGTGTTTTGCACTATAATTCAATGATGAAGAGGTACCTATTGAAAAAACTGCTCAAAATTATTTCCATGAAACATCTACTTTGTTCTTAATTGAAGTCAAGAAAGAATTTCAGGATGCGGACAAGTTATAAACAAAGACAAACAAATTTATCCGATTTAACCTCCAACAATGAAATTTTATTATATTGTTTCGTATTCTATTGGGAATGTACCAGTTCACATTTTGGAGGGAACTAACGTAGTGCGGGTGCAAAACTGGTGCAAAACCAGTGCACCACCAGGTTTACGAATGTAATTTGCTAATAGTATATTCGACTGCAACTCTCTGTTTAGGAAAATAATGCATTCATTCGAATTCATTTTATCGAGAATCTGCAAATTAAATGAGTTACAGCGTTCCATTTGAAATTGGGAAGTTATCTTCAGCTCCTTAAATGATAGTAGCCAGCAATATTTTGTACCCAGAAATCTTACCTAGGTACTCCTAGAGTACTACACATCTCATCTCCAAACAGCTGAACAAAAAACAGGAGACACAAATATGTTTTATATGACATGGAATGTCATTTTTCTGTAACCCTTCATTGAACGAGTGCAGCCATATTTTTATTTGACACCCTAACATTGGCGTAACACCAAAGGCACAGGAGTTTTGGCAATTCGTTTCCGAACAAAATATATTCGAGAACATTTTTGCGGGGACGCCTATTTAATTTTCAGAACTGATGTTTCAAATCTGAGAATGATGACAATTCGGACTTGTCAGTGGTAACAAGAGTGTCCACACTTTAAAGGGCGTGAAATGAGATGTACCTTCTCCCACTCTCATTCATCTCATTTTGTTTGTCCCTAAAATATTTTGGATATTTTAGGTTCATGGAATTGGGGTTTGACATTCTTAAAATGTTATTTCATCATCATCATCTTCATTATCCCCAGGAAACAATTTACGTATATGTTTATAACAGGGAACAATAAAAAAATTAACCATAATGTATTACATTACATAGGTATAATAATTATTCTAGTAATTCTCATAGTTTGAGCAGATCCTTGTTTGAGTGAATGAATGATTAAAATAATTGATATGTTATATGATCTAAATATGGATGCATGACAAAATTCAGACGCATAAATATTTTTTGAGTTCTTTCTTGAATTTTTTGGTATAGATATTTTTTTAAAGTCTTGTTGACAATTCATTATAAAGTAATATATAGATCTCTTGCCAAATTCAGATTTGATTTTAATGAGGGAAAGCATGTCTATTTGAATATGAATGGATATTAGCAATAATTTTAAAATTCATATTGGAATGTTTATAATTATTGTGTTTGACTGAATGAACAAATGTTGATATTTTGAATTTATATATTGATTGAAGATCTAATATTCCATTAGGTTTATAAAGCTTTCTTGTTGGTTCAAAATAATCTAATTTATATATACATCTGACAACTTTATTCTGAAGGATTCTAAGTGGCTTTATAATTGAAAAACTAGCCGTTCCCCAAACAGATATCAAATATTGAATTTTAGAATAAATTAAGGAATGATAAATAAGTTTAAGATAATTCAAGGAAATTTCATGTCTAATTCTGTAAAGTACTCCTATGATTGGTGATATATTTTTTTCGAATCTCTCCGATATGTTTTGACCATGATAAATTTTGATCTATGATTAAACCAAGAAATTTTATATCTGTAGAATATCTAATGATTTCATTATTGAATATTATATGATTTTTCAATTCATTTGGAAGAGATTACTTAGATATATACATGAAAGCTGATTTGTTGTAATTTATACTCAATTTTTTATTATTTAGCCAGGAAGATAAGGTACTTAAATCACTTTCAATGTTTTTCTTGATTTTTTCAATCTTAAATTTCAGAGATCCAAATGCTGCAGTAGGTGGCGAACTCATTTTGGGAGGTTCCGATTCAAAATACTACACCGGTGACTTTACTTACCTTCCAGTAACCCGCAAAGGTTATTGGCAAATCCAAATGGACCAAGTCAACGTTGATTCCGATACGTTGTGCAAGGGTGGATGCCAAGCTATCGTTGACACTGGCACCAGTTTGATTACTGGACCTCCAGAAGACATTTCGGCGATCCAAAGGGTAAGCACAGATTTCATGAACGAAAATGTGGACTGAACGTTCCTATAGCAGTTTATCTCCGGGATGCGTTCATTAACTTACTCCTGGAAATAGAGTGAGAGCATGGTCAGCTGAAAGCTGAAAGTAGACGTTCAGAAACTCTCATGTAAAGATATGCAAAATAACAAAAAGTGTCATGAAATTCACAGGTTTCAAAGTTTCGATTTCGAGAAATGAAATATATTCGAATTCTACTACTTTGTCAGCAAACTTACCTTTCTGTTTAATAAAAACATTATTTTTGCCAATTTATATTACAGTGAAGTGAAGGTTTTATGTAAAACATAAACAAACTTCACATTACTCTGCCAGAGTAACTACATCATTAATCTATTCAAATGCAAAGTAGACAGAGCTTCTTCTAAGCAAATTATATTATAATGACATGAGTAATGATGAACTGTGCTCTAAGTACATTTCTGGAGTAATCTGTAATGATAATATACTATGCTCTAAATAAGTTTCTGAACGATTGTGAATGCATATTCTAAACTGTTTAGTGAGTAAGAAAATAACTTTATGAACGCACCCCAGAACTGCTTTATTTTTCTAAATGTAACTTCACATATACTTACATTCCTTACTCCGATAAAAAAAAATTAGGATATTGTCACGATAGGAACCAAGAATATTTGATCATATAGTGCATTTCAACTAAGAAGACAGCGTTGGAAACAATAGGGAAGCTTTGATTGGTTGAATATTGGAGGCAATATTACACCTGCCTTATATTATGACGTTACGTTAAAGTTTTCATTGTTGAAAGATGATCATATAATCGAAATTCATTTAGTTGTCGTATTTTTTCATGTTACAATAAATCCTGATAACAAACTCAAAGTGGAACTCAAATAATCATTTGAATGGACACCATTTTGAATAAGGTGCCTTACTTTCATTTCTCTTTTGGAATGTAGTATAGTAAGAAAAAAAAATAGCTATGATGAAATAGTCCTGGTTCATATCAGGATGTTATTCTGAAGCAAATCGATAAGAATCATGCATTTGGATAACTCGAATTCCATTGACGTCGTTATCAGTTTCAGAAACGCTGTTGATAATTTTCTGTACACCCTGTACATTTGTCATTCATATACAGGGTGTTCCATTTACAAACGGACATACTTCAACTCGTTAACAGTGAATAGAGATAATCAAGCCTATTCTGAAGAACACCAACATATAGAGAATTTTATTATTGTAGGAGAGTATGTTGGTCGCTTGGGTAGTGAAAAGAGAACATTGATACAAAACATCAGGAAATTATTCTTGGTGGTTCGTTAGTATGACCCTACCAAGAAGTGACACAATCGATAAAACACCAAATATGTCGGCTATGAAGATATTCTATGTATATATCTACCGTTCACGTTTTCCCGTTTCCCAGTGATACGTGTACCTACAATCATCAATGTGCCCAAGGGTTGATGACTCAATAGTATCATTAATTAAAAAACTCTAATGTCAGTTACGTCGACACAAAATGCCGTAACGCTGTTGATATTTTGCACACTTTTTGTATTTTTATGTGTATAAGCTTACTAATACGATATAAAGAAAATGCAAAATATGATGACAAGTCCAAAGTTGGTAGATATTTAAGTACATAACCAGATAGAAACCGCGTCATTTTGTGTGACGATGGAATTTTGCGGGACGAGCGAAGCGAGATAAAGCTATGAAGTTTCTTGAAAATTAGAATATTGTCGTGGAGTCACAGATCACATCTTGAAAACCTGTTTTCCAAGAGTCGTACCTCCAGCAGAAATTTTTGGACTACATTCATGTAAATTTTCTGTTATTGGTCATAGGCACGGACTCTGAATGAAATAAGGCATCCTGCAATAGAATGTTATACAACAAATCTCAACAAATGATCCTTGTGGTGGTATAATCCTGTCTCTTTTTTTTCGAAGTGATTAATCGGAAAAAATACTTTACTGTTTGGGCTGATAGTGATTCACTATTTCAATTATGTTCTATTTCAGGATCGGATATTCTATATAATAGTAATTTACGTACCGAGTCCGGAAAAACTGTTTTTGGACGTGTTAAGTACGAAGTGAGCACTTCCCGGAAGAGTGCCGAAAAATTTGTTTCCCACGGATTATTTGTTGCGCCCTGACTGTAGATTTCAGGTCAGATTCTGAAGAGGCTGGCGAAATATTGCACGCTAATTTCGAGACAGTCTGTATCAGACTCCAATGCGGCTACTCTATCGACGTTCAAGATTACAATAGTATATTGTTTACCGAGTACGGAATGATAGTGATTTCCTACGAGAATGAAGTTGAGTATGAGCCGTAGGCGAATGCTGCAAATCATTCGAGTGGGAAATTAGCATTCCGTGCGGGTTATACACTATAATTTTCTAAGGCTCTAACAGATAACAGCGCCATTTTTTTATTCTTCGTCTTGTAGCCTCAATTCCTCCCAATGCTCATCTATTAGACAGAGCTGGGATTGCTTGAAATTTGACCATCCATGGCAAGACAAATATTGTGTTATAGCTGAAGAAACAAATTATATTGTTTTCAATATGTGCTTTTGTTACAGGCTATTGGGGGAACTGAAATAACGGAGGGTGAATATGCTGTAGACTGCGATAAAATATCTTCCATGCCAAACATTGATTTCGTTTTGGGAGGAAAGACTTTCACACTAACTCCAGATGAATACATACTGAAGGTGAGTATAACTATCTACTAGAGTTGATCAAATACGGGTACGGGGTATATCTTTATGAGTTACCGCGATCAACATATATGGAGAACTAATAGTGGTATTGGTTCTGAAAATTTTTAAGGGACATTGAAGGAAAAATTATTTTCATTATCGTGAAGCTTCTAGTGTTTCCGGAAGTGACGTCATGTTTGTTATTTTCAATAGGAAACCTCGTATTTCATAACTTTTTTGAATTCCTCTGATGATTCTAGGTTCAAATTAGTTCCAATCAACTTCTCTGTGCCCAAAACCCATAACTTGGGAGATATACCATAAATATAACTTATTTTTGCATAACTACCTGAAATTATGAATTTTTCAAATAGGCTGTGCAAAATGTCGAAAAATGTATTTTAGTTATTCACTGTTAGATTCATCATATGCAGAAGTGTTGAGTATAATAATAAAGAATTCTTTAATGTATTAGTTATTTATGGCGAATGTAATAAAAATGTTCATAAAAACTTCATTTTATTTGTCGACAGATATTTTGCACAGACAATTGGAAGAAATCCAAAATTTCATGCAGTTATTATGCACAACTAGTATTTTTGATTTTTCATTGTGAATACATCTTTACCACGGTAACTCAGTCAATTTTTCGAAATAGGAGCTAGTAGACTATTATTTGCTGTAAATTTATGCCATCACAGCTAACTTAACTTACTTTGGGTTCCATCATATCATTTTGCATCTCAGATCAAGAGAACTATGATATTAGATAATGAACCACCACAACTAAGCCAGTTTTCCTGAATTATACGAGTTACCTATTGGCCGGGCGATAAAGTAGTCTGCGGGCGCTCCATTTTACGCTGGCGCATAAATAACTATTTTAACCCGGTTCTACTCCTCAAGGGCTCACAACTTGTGAGTACGGGAATAGTGAACACGAGGTGCCCTAGCCAGATATTCACCATACTTCAACTTGTCTTTGGTCATATCCTCTTATCTTTTCCTTTTTCAATCTATCCTATCAGCCTTCTTTGGCAAACTTCTCTTTTCCTCTTTCCCTCCAAGTCCAACCTCTCCATCAAGTGGTGTGTGGAGGACATACCGCTGCCGCTCGACAGATGAGCATTAAGGGGACCATCTTTGCTGTCTTGCACCAGATGGGACAATAAATTGTTGACATCTGTGGCAAAGTTGGGGCGATTTGCTGATATCTGTCTAGTTGGCCGAGGACTGGTCAAAGAGGCAATGGAAACCTAATCCAAGCTGTGGCGATGAATGAATGGCACCGAGGTATTGTGTCGCTAACGGGGCCTCTGGGAAACAAGGCGACATCTCAGAGTAAACAGCCTTAGCCCTGTGCAGGAGGCACCACAGGGCTGGACCAACCCCTTTCCCCGATACTCATAGGAGAAGGTAAAATTTTGGCCTTCTTCGTAGACGAGAACAGGGATCGGAAGAGTAATCTTCAAGAACCTTAACGAAAAGGGTCATTAATATTTAAGTGCCCCCTAACAAGCACCATGAGTCGTATATGGTGAAATTGATAACGACATGAAGGTGAGATACAATAGGCCCCTAGGCATAAGTGTCGTCGGAGACATCGGTCAGACGAGCCTACAAACGGGGTGGAGTGTTAGGTGGGTCAGGGGACTCTCACACTATCAAATTGGGGATTAGAACCATATGATGTCTATAAATGATTTCAACCACCTCGACAAAAAAAACGGTTCTAGTTATCTATGATACAATGTTGGTTTCATAGTTTCATCAACTCAGGAAATGTCAATAAAAAGGTACGAATATGTTTTAATATGATCTATTTTCTCTTCATTTTAGGTCACTCAACTGTTCCAAACCACTTGCATCTCAGGTTTCTCGCCGATGGATGTTCCACCGCCAGCAGGTCCCCTATGGATCTTGGGTGATGTTTTCATCGGAAAATATTATGCAGAGTTCGACCTTGGAAATAACCGTGTTGGACTTGCCCAAGCAGTATGAATTGATTTTCCCATTTCAATAAATACTATTAATTTTTGAAAGATGTTTCATTTTGAAGGATTGATTAAACAAAAGAATTCAATATACAATCTTATGTATATTTACTATAAATCGTACATTTACCATTAATTTTAATTGAATCACAAAAGTGAAATATAAATAATCTCTAAAGCTTACTCAAATAAAATTACCAAATTTTATTTATAAATAATTAATAATATTATGTACATACAATTTGAAGAAAATATTTACTACAAAGGGTTCTAAACTTTCTGAGGATTGACAGAACTAGACGAGGTTACTTTTTTACTATGCTTTATTTTCCTAACATATGCTTCAATGAGGTTCTTGATCTTGGTTGGATTTATTTCACCAGTTTTGTTGTGGCATATCTGAAAAATACATAGAAGTATGATGTATTATTCACACTCTCTATGTCTGAACTTTTTACGTTTCCTTCAGTGATTGAAAATTGGTGGAATAGTTGATTTGATCCATATATGTATACAGGTTGTCCAAGAAAGAGGATCAAATGACTCGGGAGTTGATTCGACTAAACTTGCGAATAAAGTTCAGGTAACTAAAAAATTAAGAAGGTGCAGGGCACACTTATCACTCATGTTCCTTTTGTTCTAAATTCGACGTGAAACCTTCGAAGCCAAAGAGCCTATATAGAACTTGACCCTTGCATAGTGGAATAGCTCATTTGTTGGATATTTAATCTAAATTTTGGGAATGCACAAATAAAATGCATACAAATATCTTCAAAGTAGATCATCTGTTGCAATGATTAAAAACAGGCGACAGTTCAAATAAAATTTGAAGAGAATCGGTACCATAGCTGAACAAAAGTATGAAAAAAAATTTACTCAATGGAACATACTTTTATCTAGTTGGATTACCAATAATATTGAACTTTCAGATTAAGTGTTGAACATTGGGCTACAAAATATTCTCTATAAATGATATTATCACATTTGATTTTGGAGGTTGTAGAATTAGCGTGGTGGGTATGCGCTCATCTCTTGATCATAGAGTCGCTAGGTACAACCCCAGCAGATAAGAGATTCTCAATGTAAAGTTAAAAATTACCGACTGGAGATGATGTCGCACGCGAACGATTGCGTTAAAATGAATAATGCGCTTTTAGGGTATGCATATAGAGTTAGTAACATAGCATACACAGAAAACAGGGGAATGCATAGGGAAAAAGGGATTTTCCGGACACAAAACTGTACAAAACTAGCATGTAACACACATCCAAAAACTCTAAGAGAGTGAGAAATGATGGACAATAGCTGGAAAGGGTATCAACCAGCTCACTCAAGCAAACCACATCACTCATCACACATTCTGGAATTTTAGTTTTCGTCGGCCCACTCAGGATTGAATGTATTATGACTTTTGGGGTGTTAGTCAAACACTTATGTACCACACCATTTGCTACAGAACATACTAAATTATATACTCCATTCACCCAATGGTGCTCTTTTCTCAAGGAATGAGTAAAATGCTGAAAAATAAATGGTGTATTTGGTGTATTGAAAGATTTACGTGTGAAAACCTTTGAATTTTTCATGTCTGTGATAAACCTTAAACCAGATTTTCGAATTTTCCTGTTCCACTTCTTCACTTACACTATTAAGTTATAGTTTTGGTCCTATTAGCAAATCAGAAACGTCATGATTTCATTTTTTTTTTTTTCAGATGGTTTCATTGTCTCCTTAAGGTGAGTTCAAAATTCAGCGTTTTGTTTTTTGCATCATGCATCACTTTCTTCAGCCTGGCTCTGAGTTGTGACGGCCCAATTCAAATATAATATCATGGAGTAAAGTGAAATATTTCAACTTTTTGAGTTAATTTCAAACTGAAAGGTTGTAAGTCTGTCAGAGTGACACGCATATTTATGTTTTTGTTCAAATGGAAATATTATGAATGAGTGTATTGTATTGTGATTGTACTTGTAGCAGGACTGACGTTGCTGCAATTTGTGAGGATTAGAAATTAATTTCACAGGATTTTCTCAAGTTAGGGCTCAAGTCGTTTCTGAATTCGCCATCGAAAGTCCATTTCTACCAAAAATTGTGAAGATGAAAATGTAAAGTCGAATGAATCTGTCATGATGCCTCTAAATTTAATACCTCGGAAATTCAGCAAGATTCTCCCACGACTCGCCATTTTTACAAAGTAGGCAATATCGAGAGATTTGTAAACTCCTTCCAATGGGCAGTGATTACACCCATTTAAATTTCTTTACATCCATCTATAAAACATATATACTGCTCATCTTAGTCATTTGTCAAACAACTGAACAATAAGCATGGAAACATGGGGGTAATGTTTTCAATAAAGTACCTTTGTTCTGAATTTGAAATGTCTACCTGATTCAGATTATTAAAATGTATATGATTGGATGGGGTTATGTCATACATTTGGTATGGGTTGGAATATTTATGTAGTTACCTTGGGAACACTTCTTCGAAGTATGTCCTTGTACTCTTCTTTGCTTATTCTCTTTTTATTGTAATGGGGCTTTAGTACCAGTTTTACTTCTTCCACTACCCTTTCCTGTCTGTTTAGCTTCTTGAGGAACTGCAAAAATGAAACGAATTATCGTGATGTTTGAAGATTAAAACAAGTTCAGGGTGTTTAGCTTAATCAAATGAATATTTACATAAAATGTTACTGCCAGAATTACTGTTTCAAGAAGAATAGTATATTGTTTAACAAGCACGGAATGATTTGATTTTCCATGACAATTAAGTTGAGCACGAGCCGTAGGCGAATGCTGCGAATCATACGAGTGGGAAATTAGCATTCCGTGCGAGTTATACACAGAAAACAGCGAATTTTTTCATTTCTTTGTCTTATAGCCATCTGATTTTCTCTTAAATAATGCTCATCTATTTGACAGAGCTGTCATTGCTTGAAATTTGACATTTCATGGGAGTTGAGATATTGTGAAATGATAACACAATGAAGAATTGTGGTGATATCAGATACGGAAATGAAATTAATGACATACAAAGTACCTCACAGATTTATGGAACACAGTAAAACGAGAGCAATTTTGTGTTGTAGTCATAGGAAAAAACTATTATGTATTCAACATAGCAAGATATTCTTTATTGTCATTTCACTTATAATGAATGCAATTTTCAAATATTGTCTTTACATCATTCCTTTTATAACCGAATTCCCCCTCCAAATTCTGATGAATATAATTTTTCACTACAATCAAAAATATAACTAATAATCGGGTTGATTCTGTTTGCAAATAGCAATATGGTTGTAAGAAAGATATTGCTATCACAGAAAGAATTGAAAAATCGGAATTCTGATCATCTATTATGGGCAAAATGACAGTGGATCCTTTGTTTTCGCATTACAATTTCTTCCAAGTGTTTGAAAATTTAAAAAATTAGTGATTATGAACAACAAGAAGTTCACTTGTGCAACTGAATACTTGAAAACATTTCCTTGAAGATTCAATTTGGAGAGGAATTTCGGCATATCACGGCAAGGTGTCTTCCTCCATTCGGAACCTGATTGATTACTTTCACCACTTGTACAACCACGACCAAATTCAGCAAATACAAACAAATCTATCTGAATTATTGATAATTCCATAATTACGACATTTGACAGACCGTTCGAGGACAAACATTCTATTTTGTCATATGAAACCAGAGAAATTCAAATGAAGTTTATGATTTAGTAAGCTGATCTGTTATTGTATTTCGGATGTGGGCAGTGCTATGCTTATCGAAGATAGCCTACAGATAGTTGTGTGCCCTCCAATAAACCGTGTCAAAACCGTGTTCTCTAGAATGGTCAATAATATAATAATGTATTTTGAAAATGTCAGTGCTTATTTGGAAGGTTAGGTACACATTAACTCTTCTCCTTCATAAAATAATGGCACTAACGGTATCACATACTCAACAAATATAAGTTCAAAACAATGTTCAGCTTAAAAATTTGCCACATTTCAACAATATTGCTCTTTAACTTGTAATCAATCAATATGATTATAACAGTTTTGTTCATTTAGTAATATTATAACAAAGATCCTAATAGAATCAACCCGAATATTATGAAATCGTCTTGCCGTGCAATACTTTGACAATAGATTCCATGACCAAAAGTAGCCTGAAGATGGCTTTACATTATTTCCAAATTCAAAAATGCAAACGAAATTATACATTTTATTAAGGAGTATGATGTACACGGTCGGCTCAGTATACTTTTAGCTCCCACTTTAGTAAGAATACTTTTGCAGTAGATATCAGAGATATTTCGTAAAAAAAAGTGCTCTCATGATGAACTAAATTTGTCATGAAAAATCTAATTCAGAAAATTCCGAGGGGCCACTATCTCCAATATGTGTACACTTGGTGTCCAATCTAAGGTCCATTCTTAACCCAATATTCCTATTCTCACAATTAAAATGTCCGATCTCATATTTTCAATATTCGATAATATCCGATAATATTGGTCTAATCCTACGTTCAATCTGTCCAATCCATGTACGTTTTCAGAAGTGACAAATTCATAAGTCTGTCTCAGAACGTTACAAAAACAATAATGAACAACATCGGGTAGCCTCTTCATCAGGGAAGCCATTTCTCGAACCATATTCATTTGAAATTATTTTCTTATTTTTGTTTAAGGAATCAACTGCCAAAGTATTTCACGCTAAACATGGGAAACACTATAAAACATTAATGTAATCTTCATTGATCAATATGGTTATGGGATTTGAGTATTCATTTCATCATTCAGATTTTACGTTGAAATAAATAATACTTTGATTTGATTACGTCCAGAACAAAACAGATAATAAGGATATGGACAAGAATCAAGTTAATACTATATGTACTAACCTTATCCTTTACCTGCATCTCAACTGCTGAATTTGGTAAATCCTCCAGAATCTTCAGATTATCCTCATCCACCCTCACACCTACGGTCTTGGTCTTGCTAGGCGTATAACTCTTCTTACCGAACTTGCTCTTATCTTTAGTGTTCTTCGTTTTATAGCTGGGTGACCCAAACAAAGCATCAAACGCAGAAGAACCATGCTTCTGTGGGGTAGTGCTCTTCGGTTTGCCCTTGATGACCGGTTTAGTGACAATTTCACTGGGAGGTTCAAATAAGTCTTCATAGTCACTAGAGCCTGGAGAATACGGCGAGTCCAATTCCAATATAAGGTCGTCGTTGCTTCCGTTTTGAGCCCTCTTTCGTGCCGTTTTCACAGACTTACTTGGCATCGGTTTTATCGGAGTCGACTTGATAGCAGCTTTTGTTGGAGATATCTTGACAGGACTCGATTTCACTTGGTTGGGTAGAACAATCCTCTGAGGAATAGAAGATGCAACTGTTGTTGGTGTAATAATAGTGGTGTTCAATATATTCACCCTGGATGGTAAAGTCGCAGAAATCGGCGTCGAAGTTATCATAGAAGTAGGAACAGAAGAAAATGGAGTGGTTTGAGCAATCGGCTTCGAAACAGATACCGATGGCTGCACGCTCTGTACAACACCAGGTCTTTCAGGGGACTTTTCTATATGGGAATCAGGCGATGCATGAATGCTACTGCTTTGCGAATCAGCTGGTTGAACATCTGCCAGTGGTGGAGTCAGGGATTTGGAGCTAACTTCGGGCTGGGGATTTGTGGATTTTTCCAACAACTCTATTGCTAGTCGGCCATCGAGGGAATCTCTGTGTTCGTCTATCACTATGTTTGAATCCGTTGTTTGCATAGGATCAGGAGTAGGAGATCGAGATTTTGTAGGCTCAAATGGATCGTAGGCATCAGGAGAACTTGGAGGTGAATTAGGTGGTTCAGGAGGAGTATTTGGTCCTTTGTGAGCTGGACTAAGTCTCGAGTCCAACATTTCTTCCTCAACTTGATCGTTAGGCTCTAGATCGTCTGGATCATGTAATGGATTGCTTATTGCACGAACTTGAGGTGGTTTGGCATTCAACGAGAACTTGACCTGTGGTTCCGGAGGCGTCTTTGGACCTGTCGAGTAATTGACGGCATGCTCAGGGCTCGCCACTTGTTGAGAGGAATCGCATATGCTTTGTTGAACATTCCTCAAGTTTGCACTTTCTTCGTTATCACTATCACTGAGGATGATTACTTGTTTAGGAGAAGGAGTGAGTTCTCTGAAAGGCGACCTATCCAAGTCGATGATGGCAACTGGTTTGATTCCGGTGAGATCCCTTTTGTTGGTTTTCTTCTTCTTTTCTTTCTTTTTTTTACCACCATCGTCACTCTTACGTTTCTCCCTTGTAGTAATATCTCGAGTTTCATTTTCATTATTGAAACTGACGCTGACGAGTATATTATCGCCAGAGGCGAAGACTTCTTTAGAAGGAGGCGGTGTACGTTCTCTTTCATTACGTCTCTTTTTTGGTCTACCTTCCAAACCATCTTTATTCCTTTTTTCACCCTTCTTCCTTTTTTCCTTCTTCTTCTTGCCAGTAGTGGTGTTATTCAGAGTCACTGTCAAATTTTCGTTTCTTAGCACTTGTGAGTTATCAATAACTCTAGGCGGAGTCCAAGATGGAGATATGCGAGACTGCATCGGAGGAGGACTAAGAGTCCACTCCTTTTCCCAATCCCTTTGCCTTCGTAGTGCACTACCACTTCTAGATCTGTTTCTACTTTGACTCCTCACTCGTTTTTTAGACTTGGTTCTCTCAGTTCTTTCTCTGGATCTTCTCTTCTTGAACCGTCCTGGCGATCTTTTTCTTTTCTTGTTCTTTGACCTTGATCTTTTCTTTACAGGTGATCTGGACCTTGATGTTGGTGATCTCCTTCTCTTTCGTGATGTTATTTCTTTAGAAAGTGATCTTCGTCTTCTTGATAATGATCGTTCTCTTGAGGGTGACCTACCATCCCTATCCACGGATCTTTGAATTGGTGGGGTGTATGAGCGGCTTCTTGATCTAGAAGGCGTATCTCTAATGTCACGTCCAAATTGATCTTTGGCAATGATAGAGCGAGGCTTTTCAGCAATGAGAGCTCTGACATTGTATCTCTCGATTTCTCGACGTTTTTCCTTCCTCTTTTCTTTTTTGTCTCTTTGATCTCTATCCCTAGATTTTCTTGATGAGCCCAGTCGCTTCTCTTTACTCTTCATCTTATCTTTGTCCTTATCTCTGTAGTTTCGTTCTTTGGTGCTTTTACTTAGCCTTTTGAAGGAAGGTTCTTTGTTGTTACTATCATTTTCTTTATCATCGTTCTTTTCTCTAGTTGGGGTTTTATCGTCGATCTCCTTAGAATGATTGGATTCTTTGCTATCATCTTTCTGAGGAGTTCCAGGTTCAACTTCAGGATCATCATCTAGAACAGATTGATCTTTATTTTTATCAACGATTTCACCTTCTTCATAATCTTCTGGCCTTGTTAAGTCCAACTCTGATTCTTTGGCGTTGATTTCGAGAGCATCACCCTGATCAGATCCAGCTTTCAGTTCATGTGATTCATCGAAATCATTCCTATCTTCGTCGGAAATAAGTTCAGTGTCCAAACCTTCCAACCCTTGTTTATGAGATTTCTCGTCCATGCACGGAGTGTAACTTCTTTCCTCTTCACTGATATCTTCAGTCATGTGATTGATGTCTGAAATAGCAAAGGCCGGGTTGTCTATCTTAACAATACCTTCATCTTCAGAATCGCTATATAGACCTCCTACAACACCACCTTTTACTACGGACTTTGAAACATCTTTATTTCGTGGAACATCTTCGTCGTCCATCTTCACAAGCTCTCCGTCCTCCAAATTATCCCCACTTACGTTATTCAAATCACAGCTATTTGTCTTTTGTTGTTCTTCTGTGTTAGTATGACTGTCTTCCAATTTCGAGAGATCCTGATCTTCATTGAAATCATCATCATATGGCACTGCAGGGTCATACAGTTCATTCTCAGGTTCGTCATTCTGAGTAGTATTCAACGAAATATCATCCTGAATTTCTTTTTCTAGATCATAGGATTTGTCTGCATCAAAAGTTTTATCCATCGTCATGCTATTATCATCCTCCAATGCTTTTTCTGGATCATAAGTTTGGTCAGAATTAGACATTTTGTCTGCATCCAAAGGCTCGTCTGTTCTAAAACATTGTTCGGGATCGTAACTTTCATTCGGATCATCAGTTTGGTCCAGTTTTTCCTCGCCTTCACATTCCTGACTTTCTTCTGGGTCATACATTTTCTCTGGATCATAGAGTTGTTCTGGATCATAGGTTACCTGAAGATCATAATTTGTCGTATTTCCCTGCTGCTGGGAGGTGCTCTCAACATTTGGTGAAGAGCTTATCTCTCTGACTTGGTGGTCTTGACTTGGAGCAGCCATCTTTTGCGATATGGATATATCAGTGTGGAGTGCAACGGTTTTGCTTTCTTTGGAATAAATACTAAAATTGGGACAACCATCATCAGAATCCTGCTCCTCCATTTCGGTTGTAGACTTCAAAGTTTCCTTGGAATAAATGTTGCTGTTGGGACAACCGTCTGTGGAATCCTCTTCGTCATCATATTGGTAGTTCTTGATCTGGTCTAGATTTGATAGATTAGATGATTGCACTGCCCCTGACTGGATCTCTGCATAATAGTTATCCTGGTGGGTTGTTTCAAAGAAACCAGATGGTGGCTCTACGTCATTACTATAGTCTACAGTAGATGTAACAGCAGCTTCTTCTTTTTTATCATCAATGTTATTCTCTTGTTCCTGGACTTTTTCATCGTCAATAACCATGTCTGGTTCGCTGTCATTATCTTCATCCGCATATGCATTTTGTGCATGTGGTTCATTAGGATACATGTCACCTATATCTGGTAATTCTGGTGGAGTAGGAGGTTTCATCAGCTCTCCATATTCATCATCGTCGACTTTACTAGTGCTTACTGTTTCAATGTCACTGTATATATCGACTTCTGACTCATTGTTTCGATTATTGGTGTTTTCTTCTTTGTCCTTGTTCTCCTGATATTCAGATTCACTTGAAGCACATAGAGTCCTCTGGGTGTAATCTTGAGGACAATCGTAATTATCTCTACTACGATTATCAGAATACCTTGGATATCCCATGGAGGATGAAGGCTCAGAATTATTATAATTCTGATTCTGATTATTGGAATAGTAATTTTGTCTGTTGTTATATCTATTATTCTGGTACCTATTATTTTGGTACCGATTATTGTAATTACGGTTATTATTATAATAAGGAGTTTCTTTTGCAGTAGCTTTCTCTTTTCTTACATCAACATAATTCTTACTTGATTCTTTCTTTTCAATTTTGAATTTACCGTTCGGATCGAGAGAGTAAGTAGCATTCCTTGATAAAAACTGCTCTTGACTACTGAGTATGTTATCTAGTAAATCCGTTGTACTTGATACTGTTTCAGGTAGACTTATTGTGGCTTTTCTACGTACTGCTCTTCTTACTGCAACAACGTCTGAGTGATTGGGAGCTCTGCGAGCTAACAATTGATTTCCCATAGAATAGTCTTCATCGCCATCAGAGAAGTAATCGAGACCCTGGTGATTCCCGAATAAATCTACATTTGGAATGCCTGCACTAAATCTCATTTCATGAATACGTCCTTGTGGATTCGGTATAGCAACATCTGGTAAATGCTGAGGATCACTCCTGGGTGTGCAAATGCCAAGTTGTTGAGCTAATCGCTTCTTAACCGTCTTTGGTCTGACTGGTATTCTGTCACCCCTCTTCTTCTTCTTCTTCTTCCTTGTCTTCCTTTTTCTATTCTCAGACTTTTGTACTGCTACTGTTTCTCCTGTAATCGCATCAATTTCATAAACAGTTCTGGTCCTGTTTTGTCTGGATCTCCTATTGATTCTTCTCCTCCTAGAAGTTCGGTTGCGTGATGAAGTACTACCAACTGCGTCGACTTGATCATTGTTCTCCGTGGAAATGGCAGCATCATTTACTATTGAGTGATTTTGTGTTCGACTGTTTCTGGAATTTTGCTGTCGATTATTAACTATTTGTCGTCTGACCCTTTCACTTTGTCGAGTACGTGGTATCAATCTGTCAAGTAAAAATATCAAATTGATAAGGTCAATAATTGAATATTTGAGACACAAAGTTTTGAATCAAAACCTCACCTGACTAGATTCGTTCTCAACTCATGATTACTTTCAACTTGGATTTCAACTCAACTCATGAAACTATATGTATATTATCAAGTGTGTTAACAGGTTCAACTGAAAGTGCTTACACACAGTATTTGTTGATCACTATGTTTAGTAGACCGATAGAGTTTGAAAGAGATCACAGGAGAGGTCATTTAGAAATCACACAACCAAAAAACAATTATACTCCAAATAACTTCTATGAAAAGTATAACAGATGTGGAATGCTCTTGATTGTTTCCAAAAGTTAGAGTCCATCTGGGAACCCCGTTTTGAGGAGTTGATCAAATGTGCAGAGTTTATATCACAAAATAATAAATAACGCAGTTCACCTTTGAGAAATAGCATTTCAGGACAAATATTCCTATGAACTTTTATACCTATGTTCCATCATGAACGCCACTGGTGAAGTATTTGATCTAAAGAACAAACAAACCAACAAATAAACAAACCAACAAACAGACAATCAAACGAAAAAGGATTTACCTAAAACAGTTGGATTGTTTTTTCAATTCTAGACGAATTGCAGAGCAGCAAATGATTATGTGATACAAATTCATCAACTTGAACTTTTAGTAAGTTACTGCTGGTCCGTCGACTGTATATGATATAATATGATGAAGAAAATGGTAGATTAATTACGGATTGTTGTAAACCTGAGTTGTCAGCTGTATTAGATGATTTTTTTCATATTGGTAAAATGGATACCATATATATGGTCAAATATTAAAACAAATACAGTGCCCCAAAAGTTTGTGCTCTAAGAGTCTTTTGAATTTGCCAATTCGAAAAATTCATTGATTTCCAATCGGAAGGCAGTGCTTGAAAGCTGCGTTCTTCCTCTTCAAGATTCATTCTTATTTTCAATAGCATTTGTTTATGGCTGATCAAACCGAACAGACGATTTCACCAAACTCTGAACAGTCTGAACATTTTCCCAAGAAAAGGGAACTGTTTTCCTGTTGACGTTGTCCCTGATTTCAGAGCAATATGAATTCATCTCCTAGGAGGCAAAATTGTTCTGATATTGTCCACGGAATCATTGAATCCGCAGTTATGTGATAAAATCCAGAGAATCGAATTTCATCATTCTGTATGAGGAATTTCGAAAAGTCCGAAACCATTTCGGTAGAATACCGGGGTACTCCAACTTTTTCCTTTCTGTGACACTTGTTTAAAACACTTGGTGTGTCATGACTGAAGATTTTCGATGTGTTTTGAACAATGAATCTTAATAAGGAAGAACGCAGATTTCTAGCACAGCTTTCTGATGGAAAATCAATTAATTTTTTGAAAAAATAAGGCAAATTCGAAATTGACAAAAAATTCAGTGGTCCACTTAATTCATTGAGCGTTTTACCTTAGTTTATTTCCGTTTTCAAGGTGAAATCTACACAAATTTGAAGAAAATCAAGGTGACACGAAACGTGCCCTTTTACTCAGATTTTAAAACAGTATATGGAGTAGCCAAGCTGTTTCACCTAGTGTATTATCAAGTTAAATCTATTTCTTGCACTTCCTCTTTTCAATTGTTATTATGTTGATGAACCAATTATTATGCTGATGAGTGTATTTTAGAATTATTCAAGAAGTGAAAAAAATTTGGATTTTGAATCATAATAGGTATAGTTTATTCAACAGCACTGTCACACTCACGAGAAAGAATAACATTCAAGTAGTAGATATACCTACCAAAATAGAGTTTCTCAGAATATTACATTTTGTGAGTCAAATTTTGGAACCTTCTTGAAATGAATGAACATGAAGAATTCCCTTCATTTATGATCGAAGAATTTGCAGTTAACTATTCTCCTATGTTTCTGGAACTCATAATTACAAGTTGAATATGTCATCTTAAATAATATTTATTTTCAATAATCACTAGAAGACATGAGAATAAATGGCACCTGCGTAGGAAAAGGGGTATATGTCCAAAATCTGTAGTTATGGGAAATCGAGATTGAAGGTTAACATGCTCGCATTTTCTCCATATATATTCGCATGAAAACATTTCACGATATTATGATATGTTTGTTTACGAAAAATATTCGACTTGTATCCATTTCCGCGTGAATAACAGTGAAAAAACTAATTTCAACCACCACAACCACCAGACATTCAATAAAAAATAAAAAATGTTTTCTGCTGTCTCACACGAGGTTCCATTAACATTATAGGTTTTCCTCACGTAAAGTAGAAAGATTGAAAGAATATATCAAATACGAAAGTGAACTTTATCAGTTATGAGGATACAAAAACAGCTTCAAATATGAATAAGAGGTATATTGCCTTATTGGAGAATCTGAATGAAAAACCAATGGAGATTTAATCATTCAGAGTCTTCATCACTAGATGAAATGGTATTTGGAATATCATCCTTTGTCATTATATTTTGATTAAACAAATGGTAGCCTGATCTCTCCTATTGCACTTGCATCATCAACAAAATCTCTCAGTAATTTAATCCGCTTGGAATACATAGTCTCAATTCCGAATCATCAACAATACAAAATATTTTTCGGTATACAAAATACGTCCTCACATCACTGTAATTCATTGGTCACTGAACAAAATCATCTGAGAATAATATTTACATGTTCAATCCTGTCATTGCGGAAGTAGTGAAAAGGGAAATAAGTATAATTCTATCATGCGATGTGTACTGGGCTGAAATATATGTGGTCGGATATAAGTTCACTCAAATCTCTCTTCTCTACTACTTATGTGAGAAATATTTTGTGCAAAGGGGCATAAATATACTTAAACTCCTAAAATTAAAGAACATATGGAAGGTATGATTCGGAGATAAGTCCACTTATACCTGTTCTCACAACTCACCACAGTATTCAACAGAACATAGGATGGAAGTATGTCAACATATATCCATTTCCATAAATAGTTTTATGAACAACAAAACTGTAAGTACAATTACATTTCTTTTCAAAGTCGCTCTCGCGAGTGGACATAATTATGTGTATATACTAGGTGGGCCAAAAGAAATCACCCTATTGAAAGATGCTCTTATTTTCGCAAATGGCGGCCAATGTCAAATCTGTTTTGACATTTGTGAACTAGACAGATATACAGGGTGTTTCAGATTTAAATGTACAAATGATACCTGTAGATAGGGGACAATTCGGTGGTTCCAATTCACCACCCATTGATATGTCTACCATCTTTTATAACTGAGATACTGGACGTTATATTGATTTTGGCAAAATCTTCATCTGGCTATAACTTTTGAACCACTTTGTATAATTTATCCATACTTGATAGAAATATTCCACTTATATAACCCATCAAAACCATTTAAAAATCCGGATCAGAATCCAGGTCCGTCTTGAGGAAAAACATAAAACTTCTTTTATCTCAAAAAAAACACCTTGTATGGAAAAATTTTGTAGATCTGTTTTGATATTTGGAAAGAGCGGGAAAAAATGAAATAAGTGACCTACATTTTACGAGTGCGCATCTAATTTGACAGATGGTTTATTATCAAGTTTTGAAATATTCAGCTCCACTTCGAGGCATTTTTATTGAACTTATTATTCAAAATTCAATTTTAATACAAAAAAATAACAGACTTCAAAGTTCAACATCATTAGAGTCAAATTAGGTGAACTATCGATAGATTTGATGTGACAGAATCACTTGTCTATGGTATCATACAGTTTTGAGGGCTCATTTTATTCTCCACTATTAATTCACGAGCTGCGGTTGAGTAGGCTGTGCAAAAAAAACTGATATTCTGACAGGTCATAATCACTAGTGTGATATTATTGGTAATGTTAAGATAATTATTTCTGGTGCTTGTATTGGGTTGTTACATTTCAAAGTATTCATAATTATTGTGCCTACAATAACTCTACCAATAATATCGCAACATTCGCAACTATAGTGATTATGTCAGAATTTTCTTTTTTTTTCACAGCCTACTTTACCGCAGCTTATGAATAAATTGTAAAGTATAAAATGAGTCCTCGAAAGTTTTTAAAATCATCGACAAATTATTTTGTCAAACAAACAGATTTATCGATAGTTCACCTAATTTGACTCTAATGATGTTGAACTTTGGAGACTGTTATTTTTCTGCATAAAAATTCGGTTTTGAATAATGACTTCAATTAAAATGCCTCGAAATGGAGCTGAATATTTCAAAACATGATAATAAACCATCTTCCAAATTGGATGCGCACTCGTAAAAAGTATGTCACTTCATTCTTTTTTTTTTTTCGCTCTTTCCAAATATCAAAACCGATCAATAGCATTTTGCCATACAGAGTGTTGTTTTTGAGATAAAAGAAGTTTTATGTTTTTCCTCAAAACGGACCTGGATTCTGATCCGGAATTTCATTTGGTTTTGATGGGTAATATAAGTGAAATATTTCTACCAAGTATGGATAGATTATACAAAGTGGTGCAGAAGTTATAACCAGATGAAGATTTTGCCAATATCAAGATAACGTCCTGTATCTCAGTCATCAAAGACGGTAGACATATCGATGGGGGGTGATTTGAAACCACCGAAGTGTCCTCTATCTACAGGTATCGTATGTACATTTAAGTCTGAAACACCCTGTATAATACAAGTGCCCAAGCAATGGAGCGATACACTTCTCAAGAACGCGGAATAATCGTGTCTTTTTTTTGCGTAACAATTCTTCTGTGGTGTTGCCGCAGCGCGAATTCCGTCGCCAATTCCCCGGTCGTCCGACACCGACTGCGCAAACACTGCGCCATTTGGCCACCAACCTTGAAGAGTATGGGACCACACGAGATGCTGCCAAGAGTGGCCGGCCCCGGAGCGCCCGTTCTGCTGAGAATATCGTCGCTGTTGCAGAGGATGTCGAGCTGTCGCCAGAAACATCGACCAGACTCCGTGCCTTGCAATTAGCCATCAGTCGGTCGTCTCTAAGGCGAATTTTAGTCAAAAACCTGCGCTTGTTCCCGTACAAAGTCCAGTCCGTGCATCATCTGCTGCCTGTCGACCGCCAAACACGAGTTACCTACGCCCTAGCCATCCTCAATCTCGTGGACGAAGTGGACGATTTTCCAACCAAAATCATAATGAGCGATGAGGCTCATTTCTACCTCAGCGGGTACGTGAACAAGAACTATAGCTTCTGGGGCACCGAAAATTCACGAGTGATGCACGAGGAGCCATTACACCCGCTCAAAGTGACTGCATGGTGCACTGTTCACGTTGGAGGTGTCATCGGGCCTTGAGGACGGCGCTGGTCAAACCACAACAGTGGACGGTGCGCCATGTTGACCGAGTTTTTTCTGCCGCAATTGAACGAATTAGGACTGGAGGACATATGGTTCCAACAGGACGGAGCAGCGTTCCCGGGTCGCCTTATATCTCGTTTTGGCGATTTGCACTGACCCGCAAGATCGCCCGATTTAACAGTTTCAGACTTTTTTGTGGGGTTTTTTGAAGTCCCGTGTTTACGTGAACAAGCCCGAGACCCTGGAAGGCCTCAAGGACAACATTGGACACGAGTGCGAGAATCTGTCGCCCGAAGTTCTCACCGAAGTAATGAAAACTGCCATAAATCGAGCCCATACAATTGTGGCGGCGCCCATTTGACCGATATCATTTTCTCGACTTGACCAATAAAATTCTTAAGGTTCAAATAAACATAATCAAAAAGGAGAGTCGAAGCTTCTCAGTCAGAATAAAAATGAGAGCAAAACAACATCGGATGACATCTTTTGACCCACCTTGTATATCCCTTCACACCAAAAAATGGTCACATTTTGTAAATGTCACCTTTTTCACATTGCAATAACTTCGAAATCTTGAAGTTTTAACTTACATCCGTTTTCCCATAGGTGGAAAATGTTGTTTTGGATATTAGGGACGACTTAACTCAATTTCAATATTTTCAGACATATATATCCCTTTTCCCGAACAAGTGCCAAATATGCATTCATAATGAGAAATTGCAATTGAACTCTAAAATTCAACAAACCAGTAGGGTTCATAACTTGGTTCATATTTATACCACCATACAATCAACACTAATTTGAGAAAAACGCTATATGATGAAGTGATTTCTCAAATACCACTCATCAATTGTTTTTTCAAGATTGAATGTTATTTTGCTACCAAAAACTGTTTTTGCATTTCATAAAACAGTTGAGCAATATTGCAAAAAAATATAGAAAAAACTATTGGCAGAATAACATATTGTTGATGTTAATTGTTCTTATACTGACTCTCATTCAATTAGAAAAAAATTCATAAGAATTTTAACAAAGATTACCTGGGTAGTCATGTGAAAAAAAAGAATAATGCTTCTTCTGAATCATTATTATAATACTTTGAGAATCAACCTCATGAACCAATATGTGGAACATAAAATAAAAATGGAACATCATAGCCAAAAAACTTCAAAAGAAAGTATTTTTTTTGTTCAACATAAAAAATAAAAATTAAACATCACAACCAAGTATCATTGAAAATTATCAATTCACCTATTTGATTCCCTGCGTCTCATGCCTGTTGGCCTATCCATTGACTGAGCTTCATCCAAGAGCAAGTGCACCTCGACCAATTCGATTTCAGAAGTGTATACATCATCTGGAGAACAATCATTGCAGTACCAAGCACCAATGGGAATATCTTCCAGCGGGGGATTCAGACAATACAAATGGAAACCCAAATCACAACCATCACATAGAAGCATCCTGTCTTCGTTGTCACAAGACCCGCAAATTTCGCAATAAGTCGGGTCCTCGATGATATCAACGTCATTCTGTGGAGTCGGTTTTGTGATGGGAATCTGTTTGCAGACTTTCCCATTCAGCGTGTTCCGTACGAGGATTAGGTTGTACTCCTGTCTGTCTACCGGACAAGTGTTCATATTTTTCGACCATTCCTGGATGCATTCCAGACAGAAGGTGTGATCGCATGATTCTGGAGTACCAATTTCCTGTGATCTGAATCGTGCCAGACAAATGGGACACTTTTCAGATTGGCCGTCGCTAACATCTGAGTCGATATTGGATTCTTGAGGTCTCGCCGTGGAATTGTTCTGGGTTTTGGTTTCGTCCTCGGAAAAATCAGATGTCCATTGACTATCCAATTCACTTTCTGAATCACTCGCTAGCTGCCTTGGTTTTCCTGCTCTAGATGTTCTTATAACTGAATCGTCTGAACTGTCTGAATCACTAGATACCCTCTGAAATTAAGAGAGAAAAACAAAATGATTCCAGAATCAAATCAGGGCTCTATTCACATGACCGCAAAACTGTTCCTTCTACTTCAACTGGCTTCTACTACAGGATACCTTATTCTCTATCAATATAGAAGTTGTGTGCCACATTGGAAGTGAAGAAATCCAAGCCCGACCATAACGAATATTTCGTCAACACTGTTTTCGGAAAAACAGTCATCTCCACAACTAAACTAATTATTTCAATTCAATCGGCTGGCTAATGAAAGATTTGACCGCTCTGAGGGTTGTTTTTGGAACCAAGGTGATAGGAATAACCTGATGATAATTTTGCTGACCTGTGATCAGATTTAAAAAAGTAATGGACAGGAACGTTTGGGTTTCAATATTTAATTTACAACTCCACTTCAAGTCATGTCATCATGGACTCCTTCCAAATATTATTGTGATATTTTGGATTATGTTTATTGTATTTTGTTGATGTTACTTCGCAGTGAATGCGACGGCAGCAATATTCACCCTTTCAACTTTTCTGACATTGAAAAATTCTTCCAGATACCAAACTTCACTATATCATAATCACAATGAATCAATGAAATGTATTTACAAAAACCTCAAACATAATTCAACTTTGGCTCTTTTGCTTCGGAATGAGTAACTTGCGAACATCAGTTGTTTTTTTTGTTATTTGTATACATAATACATACCTGTTTACAAGAAAACCAGTGTATATTGGGTATAGCAGCAATGTAAAAGGATACTCTTTATAGTTAATCCCCGCTTTCGGAAATCTTTATTTTCGTCATCAGAGAGAGTACAATGATGTGAAAGTATAACTACATTGAACTGGTAGTAAAAAACGCCAGCTCTCGATGACGTCATATACCTTCTCCCGCGAGTTGAGTCGAGAATTTCAATAATCAATTAGGGTTAGCACTTCAGAATGATAAAATGCCATTTTTCACTGAAACAGGCCCACTGCATTTGTTTAAAGACTATTCAATATTGTAAATACTTGCATATTATAGCATAGCATGAGTGTGCTTTTACTATATTTTTGAGGTACATGGTTTGTTCTTTCCTGGGAATCAAAATTTGTCCAACAAATCGTTATGAGAAACATCAAAAATACATCATAAATAACTAGGTTATTTTTATGTCAGGCGGGCAACTTTTACGTTGAGCCGACAAACAACACGTGCTCATTAATCTTTTATTGTGTAGGCGAGATAGGAAAAATTACTTTAATCCTTATGACATTTCTTACATTCTAAGTATATCTCATTATGAGTGAGAACTGTGAGAAGGATAGATATTCGAATTTTACTTTCACAAAAGAATATACTAGGTAAAAATAATTCCAATTCTAAACTTTTTCCTTTGAATTTCAAAAAAAAATACATCTCCCATCAATCAAGTGTGACAATTCTGTGATTTTTTCACCGGTAGCAAAAAATACCGTTTTCCTGCAACCCACTAAAAAGTCGTCCATTTCAATTCCAAAATTAGCTCTTCAAGTTGACGTTTCTATTACTGACACAAAAATAGATTCCTATGTTGCTATATTCACAAACATTCCAGTTAAACTTTGTAATGTAATATCTCCCCAAGTACTTTTGTACTTGTATTCATACTATAATTGCGTTTCGTCTCATATCTTCTACTACCCACATCAACAAACATTCATCGCTTTAATTTCGGAGACACCCTGTATATTTCGACACATAAGTTCTAATTCATACTAATAAGTGTTTACTATCAATAATCTACCCAGTTTTCACACCACATGTTTCCAGTATTTTGTCATAACTCGTTGAATTTTTTGCTTCGTCCACTAATCTCTTGAATCCACGACAGAAAATGTGAATGACTAACTTTTTGACGTAGCTACTCGTGAACTGTGGTGAATATTTGATATTTTGGTTTCAAACCATAAAGTTGCCCATATCTCTCCTACAGCCCAAATAGACTAGTCACTGATTGGCGAGGTAGCGGCTCCATCGAGGGCTCGATTGTCAGGAACGGATTCAGTTCATATCTAGTCCATAGATCTAATTACACTCTAGTCTTAGTAGACTCAAGGAAAATATTCCAAAAAATGCTAATTGTGAGGAAGAGGTCCATGATTTTTGAACTACTCATGATTTATACTTTGACGAAAAATAAACCAAAACCCAATTACTTGAGGCTTTGAAAGTTGAAGAGTTCAAGAAAGTATGTCATAGACGAAATTGCCAAACAAAATTATCATATGGTTATCGTATTACCCCCATGTTCTTTGATTATCAATCCTATAGAATTAATTTGGGGACAATTATTGAAGAAAAGAATCCGTAGAAAAATTATATTCCCAAATTTCGCCCCTTAAGTTATATCTTTAATAGCCACAGAAGTGAAAAATATCAGTGCTGCCAATTGGCATAAAAAAGTGAATAAACTTTTAAAATTCGAAGAATATTAGATTCGCGGGAATCAATGTCACCAGGTGGCGCTCGGTTTTCATCGTTCCATGTCAAAGCCACGTCAAAACTGGGGGAAAACAAACTCAATCCTCACTCAATCCCAATAATCCCATTAGTGCCATTAGCTTGTGTACTGATAAGAGTGATGTTTTTAAATTTCTTGACAAAACGCTAATAACGCCGGTTGTAGATGTTCTTTTGGCAGATATTTTGCTCTACTTAGATGGAAAAAGCCGACCAGTAGTGGAAGGAGAAGCAGTTCTCTGTGCTAATCATGTTATTTGGTGTGAGACAGAAGACTCCAACAAAAGGCACATTTTTGCACTTTGTCTACAAAATTCGACGATGAAATCTTCCCCACATGAAGTAAAATTGAAGTTGGGCTCCAGAGGAACTCCTGTAGAACAATGGATTTGTATTTGTTTCTGCAAAGCAGGACAATCTGGGTATTGTAAACATGTTGTAGCTGTTCTTTTATATGTCAATTGATTTGCTCGTCATAATTAGTTTGAATTGTTTGAACTATCTCCACCCGTTCACTGTTCACTAAACTAATAAAATTGTAATAATTAAAAAAAATTAACCAACTCAACCATCATCACTACCAACAGTGCCAACACTTTATGTCATTGACAAGTTTGACAACTACAGCTACAGCAAGCTGTATGCAATGTAGTCTATGCACTTTATCCATAGACAACAGTTTGTTTTCCCCCAGTTTGAAGTTCATATTATGTAACCTAGATGTCGCCCACTTCGTGAATCTCGCGAATATAGAAATCTGGTTGCTACCCATCTGAAGGGCCAGAATCGATTTATTATCCATTTGGCTGATCATAGTGAAGAGGGTCCTAATTTTAGTATTGAAGAAGATGAAGTGTACCATTGAATATTTTTCATTTTAAATTAATGGCAGCGTAATTTCCGAGATTTTTCCTCCTAAATTTCACAATGTGTCTTCAGGAAAATAGATCACAAATATTTGGCATTCCTCAGTTCTTGTTGTATAACAAGATAATGGTCCTGTCTTATAAAAACATGATACTATACACCTTTTGAGTTGTTTCTCTTTCACTTTAAAAATCACTTAGTAGCTTACAAGAAAACAAACCATACCTATACCTATTTAAATAATTTAATCCAGGTTACTGAACGCATCATTATTCTCTGTTATTTCTGAATAAACTAATTCAGTCCTACTCTGGTTCCAAACATTTGCAGATGGAACGTCGGCAAAAATATTGTGCCTTCTTTTTTGTTTTACTATACAAAATCTTGAAGGGCACACGGCCAATACACAAATAACGGATTTGTTTTTTTATAATACAACAGTCAACCTCATCTGTTATTTGCTACATATCGGCCTTGCAACATTAATAACTATTTTGGATTTGTCTGCAATGTCATTGACAACTATTTCATAGAATTTTTGTATTTGGAAAAGTAAACAACTTTCATATTAAGAAGGTATTGTGATCTTAAATTTTACACACTGTATGTATGTATGAATGAATGAATTTGTTTATTACATTCCAAAAAACATAAAAATGTCATCTAGGAACACCTCTACACAGTTTTATCTAGGTTTCATGTCACAGGCTTCACAAATAGTTTATTATCAATGATACATAATATATTGGTATCATATTGATTATTTCTAGTTGGTTATGTAAAATTCTCAACATAAAATGTAGAACCAAACTTTTGATTTTTAAATGAAATATTCTATTTTTTTCACAGCTCTCATCAAGACATTTCTACTTTCCAATAAGGAAAAATTGAATTCCTCCAAAATATAATTATAAATACTGATATATATCAAAGATTATGAAGGAACAGTGAATATCTGTCTTATCAAAAATGAAACTCATTTGAATAATTTTTACATTATTTGATTATCCAGCAACTAGACTAATTGTTGCAAATACTTTCTTGAAAATGAACTGATTTTGCAGATTGTCATCAAATACTTTCTTGAAAATAAACTGTACTTGTACTTCTAGTGTTACTTTATATGATTGATTGGTTTTTCTCTAGTCTAGATAGGATCATTTCAAAATATTCAAATGGTTTTGAATGATTTGTAAGGCAGAATGATATCAAAGTCAAAACAATAAAATGTTCTTAGAAAAAAAGTTATCAAAATCTGCCTTTGGCACTTTTCAGAACATAAAAAATGACTAGGGTTGTCAGCAAAACCCAACTAGTTCAAATTGAGTTCATGCATTATTGGGTTATTGGCAATATGTTATTGATCAGCAGTAGCTATTGTATGAATACAAAAATAAAAGCAGAGCCTACTATACTCGATGAAAATCCAATGTTCAAATTATTCTGTAAAATACTATGATCATTTCTACTAATAGCAACTTTAGGTACTATTGAGACCATTCAACAACTACACATCAGATATTACAAATACTCCATTTATAGATATCTCACCAATTATAATATACTGTAATATACTTCTACTAATAGCAACTTTAGGTACTATTGAGACCATTCAACAACTACACATCAGATATTACAAATACTCCATTTATAGATATCTCACCAATTATAATATACTGTAATATACTGAAAAGTCTACTACTTCTACTAAAAGGAGGTTAGGTAAAATTGCACTAATCATGTGAAGGGTTGAAACATTGTTTTGGTACTACTCATGTATTTTTATCTGAAAAACATGAATTTGATAATGAAAATATGAACAAACCACTATTTATCAAGATATTTCAAGAAAAAGTTAGAAATTTCACCTTCTTCTTCCCCCTCTGTCTTGGATGCATTTTCAGCTACTTGCTCTTCTTATTTTGTCATTTGACACTATATACTCATGATGTACTTCAATGACACATTTTTGTGTAGAAAATTCAACAGGAAATATGATTTTCATGATGAGTTTTTCATATAGTGAACAACCATACCAGATGATGGCCATTTAATCATTACACATGTCATTATTTCAAATGATATTCTTCCTTATTTTCACTTAATATGGGTAAACCCCAAGAAAATCATATTTCTAGTTGACATTCATTTAGAAAAAAATGTGTCATTGACATACATTGTGATATATAAATTGTCCAATGATGAATCATCTTAATAAATAGTGGTTTGTTCACATTTTCATTACCAAATTCCTGTTTTTCAGACAGAAATACCTGAGTAACAAAAAACATTTTCACAAAAAAACATCACATGATCAGTGCAATTTTACCAGAGTTCAAATATTTCAAAATATCACAAAGTAGGTACATATTATGTTTCTGGGTAAAAGTGCACTTAAAAACAGGAATTTCACAATGAAAATGTGAACAAACCACTATCTATTGAGATATTCTAGGAAAAAAATGCAAAATTTCATCATGTTTTGCCCCTCATCTTGGATATCCATTTACTGACATTTTTCCTTCATTTTCAATCATTGGACACTTTATATACTCACATTGTACTTCAATAACACATTTCATTTTCTAAAATCAACAAGAAGTATGGTTTATTTGTATTTTTTTCATATTTTAGTGAGGTAAACAATCACACCAGCTGATGGCCATTCAAATACAAATCACAGAACTCAAAATACAAATACAAGATGTCAAATAAAGGTCAAATGTCAAAAAAAAAATTGAAAGAAACTCCAGAAACCAAACTATTGTTTACCTCACTAAATATGAAAAAAATCAGAATAAACCATACTTCTTGTTGATTTTAGGAAATGAAATAACATGAGTCTATGAAGTGTCCAGTGATGGAAAAAGGACAAGTAGTTGTAAATGAATATCCTAGTGGTTTGTTCAAATTTTCATTGAGAAATTCCTGTTTTTCAAAAGAAAATTCATAAGTACCAAAATTTTCAAAAAAAAAACATCACAGCAGAAGTTCACTTTTACCATGTATCTGTATTTGAATTCTTCAAAAGATTTGACTGATAATTTACATTACACAAATTAGAATTATTTGATTATTATTATTATTATGACTGTGTGATATTCCAAATATTTTGGGAATTTCTCTAAAAATCTGGAAATATACCTACCTATCTCAATAACTTTCAATAGGTACATTATTGAAACAGTTCAGGTAGGTATGTATTATTAGCAGGGCCGATCCTAGCGGGTGTGCAGCGCGTGCCCCGCACGCGGGCGGCCAAAACAAGGGGCGGCCGCAGGCCGCATATTGTCCTATCAAAGAAAATTATTTGAAACTCATAAGTCGAATGAATATGCTGCATTTTGAATAAATAAAATGATAGTAAATAGTGTGTTGGTCCATTGTCAATTAATGTCTACTTTTTATACACATTCTTATCTTCCCAAATTTTAAATTTCTATTTGAAACAATAACCAAGGGGCATATTTTTCAGACGCCTAAGGATGTTTTGTTCCATCACTGTGCGGTAGCTTATTTATGCATTTCTACTACTTACTAAGAGACTATGAGAGAAAATCCCAAAAAATCTGGAGAACATCCACTTGGTTAAACTACAGACACCATTTAAAATACTTTTCACTTGCTCTTCTTATTGTTCTTATTTTCAGATTCCAGATCATTTTATATCAATTACAATAAACTGTAATATACTAATGTGATGAATTTGAATCCCAACAAAAATTTCGCCTGCGGCGCATTTTTTGCCATAGGAAAATTTTGTCTGAGTTTCTTGGCCGCTCCCGGTATGCACTGGAATGGAGTTATTACCTGAGAGCATTTGACCTTGAACTCAGAAAAAATTCGCCTGCGGCGCATGAAGATTTTGTCTACATTATTTTTCTGTGTTTTACTTCTTATCCTTGTACAAGTAGTTGAAGTTATGAAGTCATCAGGTATTATAGTTAAAAAATATGAAAAATTCTCTAGAGGGGCGGCACATTAGTTTTATGCACGCGGGCGGCCGACACCCTAGGATCGGCCCTGATTATTAGATAATTCTCTTCAACAACAGTATCATCATAACAAAACAATAAACACCTACCACTATTTTTCTTCTTTGCCGATGAAGGATTGGACTACTACTGTTGTCTGTGTCTGATGAATCTACTACAGCAGTCCTAGACTGCAATGTTCTTCTCCTTATTGAAGTTGAACCGCCGATGATAGGACTACCACTGGAAGTACTTGCTGGACTGTCTTGTACAGTCCGTGATTTTCTTTTACGTTTATGTTGGGGGCCTGCATCACTCTCATCACTGCTACTCATTTTTAAGCTGTACCTAATACCAATGAAACAAAAATTGATAAAACTTGTTTTAAAAACTACAATAAGATTTATGATGATAAAGAACGAAGATTTATTCTAGATCCTATGTAATTGGTAGATATAACAATAAATCTATTTATTTTAATGAAATTTCAACTTTTACTATTGATATTGAAAACTGATCTAAGATGCAGCCATCTTGCCATCATTGACATTTTCACTTTTCAGCTACGAGTGCTACGACGAGTAACTAACTAGCTACGAGTTTTTCGTAGCTTGCGTTTGCGTGATTTGACAAATGATATGAACGGTGCCAGGTTGTATCATTCTGCAGTATATCTAAAATGTTTCCCATGAGGTCATTTCACTGACATAAGTCATAACTACTATCTAGACCGCCATATCTTGCCTGAAACGCCCCCAAACTGTCGTTCATGACAGAGTCTTGGTGTTCGGAAACGTGAGTAAAAGGTGATTAGGTGAATAAGATATATTATGACAAGGATCGACAGTCCTAAATGCGCATGATTCAAGTTCTTCAATTCGAACTCGTGAATGGCATAGCTTCTTTCTTATGGCAAAAGTAGTAGATAGTAGTGTATGTCAGTTGATCATTTGTACAAAAGCATGAATAAGCTGCCACTAGAAACATTTTGATAATTCTGAGATATAAGTTGAGATGATTTCAATCCGAAAGTGAAAGTCGGAATTAGTACATATAATAATGCACACCATTGTTACAGTCGAATTTACGCCAAATATCTATTTTATTTTGATCATTCCGTGTATTTAATAATATTTGGTTCAGTCATTCGTCATTATTTAAAATCAACAAGAATATTATTTGTTTTCAATAATCAAAAAAATCGCCTCCCAAGAACTGGCTCCCGATCACGATCATCACGCATTTTGTCCCACATTTTTCATGTTATGAAATTTTGTGAAAAGTATCTACGACAGTGAAAAATACGTTTGGGTTATAGGCACTTCAACATGATAATGAAATGAAACTTTTCACTGCCAGATCGATGGGGAAAAACGATGTGTGACATAAACTATTTTCTTGCGATGACCGGTATCGAACTGGCGAACACGAATCATGAGCATTCAGGACTTGTCATATGTCTAATTCACTCGTTGTCATGAACTTCTTGGGTATTCCTGATGCGCATTGAGCGGAAGCGTTTTCGGGCGAGCAATTTACCCGAGTATTTCGGGTTGCAGAATAAAGGGATATTTTTTAACCGAAATAGGCCCATTCTTCCACATAGCACCGGACATCTTTGAATACGTCCATTTTATATCCATCTCCATATAATGCCTGAACGTCCACAGGCATTAAATGGACGTCCTAAAGATATATCGCGGTAGCCAAGGTCATCTGACTATGCGATGACATAAAAACTACGGGAAAACATGTCTAACTCTTGATCTAAGTCAGGGGATATATTTTGTACTCTTATTTTTCCCAAGCTGGTGTGTTTATGAATGAGAAGAGAGTTATAAGGATGTACGAGAATCAAATGTGCTCATTTCCATTCCATACCAGCTTTTAACAGTCATAAAATGTATTTCATGTGTTGCACCCTGTATATCACGGAAACAAAGGGTCATCCTGCAGAAAATATATGCTCGTAGGGACCTTTATTTCATCTACAAGGAATACGCGATCGGGATTTTTTGGCGTTTACTTTTGGAACAGTTGCCTTCTTACGCTTTCGTAGAATTGTATCTCCGAATACTATCTCAGCTCAGAATTACTGCGCTCGATTAAAGTCCATCTGGCAACATGTGTAGCATACGTAGCATTCGTTCCTCTTCGTACGGCTTCGTACTATTCGCATTGTTGTCGTCTTAGTGGTTTTGTTCCTGAATCTAGTGTTTTTTCTTAGATTAGTATGGATTAGTCAAGTCAATGCATGCTAATATTGCTAATCTTATAAAAGTCTTTGGTCAATGCGACATTCTAACTTGATTTATGCAAGGATTCTTGACAATTGCCTGAAATCTGGAATCAGAACAGATGATGTCCATTAAAAGTTGTCAAATTCTTATGCATATTTGCATTTGCGACATTTCATCAGCAACAGCTGGCAACACTGACTATTCGTTCGTAGCAGTAGCATACGGACGATGTCATGTCATGTCTGGATGTCTTTTTATCGTAGCATCGTTTTTCGTCCGGTAGTTCTCCAGCGTTTTGCCTAATTTGTCAAAATGGGTCGTATGCATGCACCTGGGTAATTAATCATATCACTTAGTTTTTCTTCACACAACAAATTACATCGATTATTAAGTTATCTTGCAACCATATTTTGATACCAAACTATTGGTTTGCAAACATTCGAGGTTATGTTACTCAAAGTTACCTCGTGGTTTTCTTATTGAACCTGTATCTTTTCTAATAATTTTCACTTAATATTTTTTTTTCAGCAAAGGTATTGCCCAATCGGCTCTACCTTACAGACGTAGTGTTCCCACATGGTTGAAAGTTACTCCTGAAGAAGTCAAGGAACACATCTTCAAACTGGGAAAAAAAGGTCTCACTCCATCACAGATTGGTGAGTAGTATATTAATATTAATCAGAACACTTTCTAGTGTTTCTAATTATTTATTGTAACAAGATTATGATTCAGATTTTGGATATTCAGCAAAAAGTCATGTTACTGTGTTTTTAGTTGTAGGTCCATTCACATTTCTAATATCTCATGAAAAGTTCATCCTAATCTTCATAATATTATGGTCTGCTTATAAAATTTATTCAATTGCATTTATTGTTCTTGTGTTCTAACTTAACAGCTCTAATTCATTCATAAAATCCTTTTAACTAGCTCTATTTTATGATATCATATGAACATGTAAATAGTAACTTGTAAAACTGAAGTCAACTCTAAGCTCAAGTTGGAATTGGATATCTAGTTATAAGTAATTTCTATGAATAGGCCAAGGAAACATTTATGCATAAATTTGTAAAATTTGCTTTTTCACCAATATGTTTCATTTCATTTGACACCTTGCTTGGCAGCAAACTTAATTCATGCCTATTTTAGGAACCACTGAGATTTCTACAATATCATGAAATCACAGATTAACAGTCATTTGAAATAATAAAAACTGGTATTCTGTTTTCCCTAAAGGCTGTATGACACCTGTTAAATTTGATGACAAATATGTTAACAAAAATGATGACAACAATATTTTTTGTGTCATACAGTGAAAAAGGTGTTGATTTTGCACAGATTTGCAAACATTCTTGTAAAAATATAGGACTGGTTCTAAATATTTTGATATTATAAATATTTATACTGTATGGCACATAGAAAATATTTTTGTTATCATATTTGTCATCAATTTCAACAGGTGTCATACAGCCTTAAATGAATCTTCTATCATGGGGTGTTTCAACATCCCATTTCATATTAGGTGATGAATACAACGAAAAACATGACTTTCAGAAATGTTGCAATTTTGGGAAAATATCTGATCATACCTAATGTAAAAATATGAACCACAAAAAAAATTGATTCATATTTGAATCAACAGAAAGAGTTATTTGATATGAGTTTTATAGGAGAGAATAATAAAGATCCATATTCTTTGGAGGCTGTAAAAATCACTTGAAATGTCATTTGAATATTAGTTGCTATTGCAGACTGTTTCTTCAGAGCTCACTGTTGGTACCTGTGATGCCTGTGAAAAAAAAGATTTGCTTCATAGTGAAAAAACTGAAGGAGTATAATTTGCACACCCCAATCACTTAAAAAAAGTAATAAAAATAAGACTAGTGGAGTTTATAGATACCACATTCAAATATGACATAAACCATATGGATTTCAAAAAAATAGTAGCACCCTTCTGGAATACATAACAAATGAGTTGGATAAAAACAGATATGTTGTGGCTATATATTCATAGATCTTAAAAAAGCTTTTGTTACTGTGGGTATTTCACTAATTATTATGGATAAGCTACAAAAAATGGGAATCCAGACAGCAGACCAATGTCAGTGGTAAAGTGAGTCATCCTCAGAGTCACCAAACAAGTGTTAGTGTAGGAATTGCAGGCTCCTCTGTATTGATTACATGTGCATAGTTAGAAGTATGCAGGTCTGAAAGTGAAGTATTTCAAATTCTGTGATGACACCACAATAGTTTTCTCAGGTGTGAATTGAGAATATCTTGGAAGAAAATGTGAATAGTGAGCTCAAATGCTAGCAGCCCCACAGGTTCAGACCCACTGGAACACTAAGTACCTGTAGGGAGTAATTTTACTAATAACACTATTTTGTTACTTTTATTAATTCGGTGGATTTGAGTCAACAAAAAGTCAATGTATGAAAACCCCATTTGATTGAAATATAATATTAATATTTTGTTATGATTTTTTTTAATGTTTCCATATGAGCATAGATTATTGATGTTGGATGAAAAAAGAAACTGGCCATCATGTGAACAGGCAGGGACATGTGTTTGTTTAACATTTTTAGGAAAATAAAAAACAATACATAGCATAAGCATCCTTAAGTATCAGTATTGGAATATGATGTGATTTTTTATACAAAATGATCAACAGTCAGACAAATCTCCACTACTGGAATATTTAATCACTCATTAAAAAAAAATGGGAAGCAACAGCATCCATAGCAACAGTAATGAAATTTTTTATATATAAGGGTAGATGAAGATAAAATCAAACACCAGCTTTACAAAAATAATTCATACATTGATTAAATCTAATCTTAATTCTTCAGCAGAAGAAAGCGAGAAGAAAAGTTAGAGATTTTCGCGAAAATAATGTAGTTTTCTTGGGCCGCGGAAGATTTTAATAAAATTATGTGCATGGAATATTATTTGATCGGAATATTATTTGATCGTCAAGGACCCCTGCACCACTATTACGGCCTCGGTTGAAAACTGTCTTTATAGAAAAAAAGTTGATGATTTTCGCGAAAATGTTTATCAATTTTTTTTTCTATATCGAAGATGGTCTTCAGCCGATGTTGCTATAGTGGTGCAATCTTATCGTTTGTGAAGTTTTTACATTTATCAAATATTTCATGTACGAAATTTTATCAAAATCTACCGCGGCCTAAGTGAGTTATAAATTATTTTCACGAAAATTTTTTTCAACTTTTCTGCTATATCGAATACGGAGCGGAGGCCGCTATAGTGGTGCAGAGCTTCTCGACTATCAAATATTCCATGCACAAAATTATATCAAAATCTACCGCGGCATAAGTAACTTATAAATTGGACATTGGGGCCACCATATCTAAAATAATTTTGAACCAGTATGTAAACCTATTTTATTTTATCAATCCAAAACCGCTTGCCTAACGAAAAAAAGTCAAGAGGTTATTTTTGTTAGCAACTAATGAGAGATTGCAAAACTGATTTTCATTTTGATGAAAAACAGTGGCGTGCCATTGTTTAATGTAATAAAATTATATTATGGTCAATATCAACGATTCAAAAAAGGTAGATGATAAATTATTTTTAATAAATTATAGAGAAATTTATCCTCTTTCAAAACATATAAAAATTTATATACCATTACATTTGATTTTTTTGAAAAAAACTCAAAAATTTGCTAACATTTCAGTTAACGCCATCTAGCGGCGACAGCAAAAGTCGTTTTGTAGGGCAAATTATGCTCTTTCATATTACCCTGAGTTTGCTAAAATCGGTCAAAATAAACGGGAGAAATCTTGGTAAACATTTATAAACATTTAATCCAATTCATTACAATATATATCATACATACATGTTCGATACAGATATTTGTACATGTAGATTCTAGATTTAAACATATGCACCTAGGTGTAACACCTGTGTGTGCATTATTTCCTAACTCATTTAAATAGCTTTCAAAGATTTTTTTTTTTTCTGAAAAACTGTTATTTTCAAGTCAAAAACTAATATATAAACTAATCTCAATAAACACAAGAACAGTTTTTTTTTTCGAATTACTATACAACTACCTACCTATTTGATATCCAGACAAGTTCTGAATAAATTATAATTATTGTACATGTATGTATATGTATAAATTCGGGGGGCTATATTCTTTGCAAACCTCTGAGTAGTCTTTTTGACAGAAAGGTACGGATAAATATTTCTTTGTAACTTGACGTGTCTTATATGAGTGAGATAAATATTTTGCGAACATTTGTTTTCGAACATGAATTGACAGTTACTGAGGAAATATAGCATCCTGATATTGAGTACATTGCTGTCATAGAGTAGAGCTGTCGGGTATATCCGGTCTTTATGAAATATTATATGGTTTGTTTGGAAAAACAATTGAACTTCCCCCACCGCTTTATTTTGATATCTAGAACAAAACGTTTAAAAAAAAATGTAGGGAAATGGTCAGTAAATATAAAAATGATATCCACATACTTTCATGAGACAAAATTCTATAAAAATCCAATTTTTCTACTTGGTGTTGGTTGTTACGCCCTCTACCGGACGTTTGACAAACTCGAAAATAATTTCCAGCAATTTCTCTTGGCGACTTTTATCATGATTTTTTTTTCTCAAATCTATTCAACCAATATCTTATGAGATATGGCCGCTCCCTATCCTTAACTGATCACCCTGTACATTAAAACCACCATTTGATCACTGTGTAAAACAGTCAAAATTAATTAATTATTCATTTGAAATGGTACTTTTTTCAGGTGTTATTCTTAGGGATTCATATGGAGTAGCTCAAGTACGATTTGTTTCTGGTAACAAAATCCTTCGTATTATGAAAGCTATGGGACTTGCCCCTGACCTACCAGAAGACCTTTACTACTTGATCAAGAAGGCTGTAGCCATCCGTAAACATTTAGAAAGGAACAGGAAAGATAAGGACAGCAAATTCAGGCTGATTCTGGTTGAATCGCGTATCCACCGTTTGGCTAGATACTATAAGACGAAAACCGTTCTGGCGCCCAACTGGAAATACGAATCCAGCACAGCATCTGCTTTGGTCTCCTAAGTTAGAGTTTATGTTGATTTTATAAGGTTCAATAAATAATTACTGGATCTTATTTCTATTTTATTTTTTTCAAGTTGGAAGATTCACTTTTTGTTACCTCTAAATATTTTTCCAACTGAAATTCTCTAGGGCTTTGCAAATTCAACCAAACATGAATTAAAACTACCATGACTTTGAATAATATGGATCATTTGGATGCATTTTTTGACCTAGCAGAACAATTCTAGCTATGGTGGTGAATTCGAATCTGTATCCTTACTTAACATTGATTTATGAAGAAACTGTCGTGTACAAGTACCTACAAACCAATGTGAATAAACTGATGATTGAATAAAATCCGTATGCATAAGATAAATATATTTTTAAAAATCCATTTTCATTTTTGAAGATATATTATTTTACGTGAACATTTTCAACCACCTGTCAATCTTCTGCACTATGGATCAACTTATTTATCATCTTCAAATTGTACAAGGGGTGCTATACATCAGCTACAACAAATTATTTCATTACCAGTAACACAGGGAAATAGCAAGAGACACAAGAAGATCCAATCCTGAAAAATGTCTGCAAACTGGTGTGCAAATTGGAGAGAAGAGGGATTCAAAGGGAAATATATTGAATATTCTTTAAACGAAGGTATATGAAGGAGTCACGCATAAATATACCTGAAGAATTAGGTCAAAGAGTACTGGATGAATTTCATGAAGCACATACTGGAATAGTAAGAGTGAAAGTACTTGCTCGATTTGTTTGGTGACCAAGATTGGCAAGAATTGATATGTAGATATTGAAGAAATAGCAGAGATGTTGAGGTAGTCAGTCTATGTGACACGAAAAAGACAAAAATCAACCTCATTTTTGGGAATCTCTAAAGAAACCTTGGCAGCAAGTACACATTGATTTTGCAGGACCGTTTCAAGGAACTGTTATCCGTTTTCCTAATGGCCAGAAATATTCATGACAAATTCTGAAAATGTTAAAATGCAATGGAATAAAACACAAATTTAAGGCTCCGTATCATCGAGCATCGAACGGTCAAGTCAAAAGATGTGTACCATGAAAGATATATTGAAGAAAATGATGATGGACCCTGGAAATTTGGAACTGAAACTTGAAAATTTTCTGGTACAATACCAGAAAACATTGTTTCATCCACTTATAAGTCACCTGCAGGAAGAGAAATCAGGACATCATTTGATTTAGATTTGAGGATCCTGTGTAAAGTTCTAATCAAAGTACAAGAATAATACACTCCATAGCACTCAGAGATTAGTCAACCACAGACTGACTAATTTCCGTAATAGGGTTCCACATTTTCCCAAAAAATATGTTTTGAAAATGATATGTAATGTAATTAATTTTTATAATGTGGTAATTGGCAAACCTCATTATTCGGTAATATTCATTTTATTAATCATCATATTTCTTTATACCCAGTAAGTAGTTGGATTTCTTGATGTTATCTTCAACTTTTACCATGTGACAATTATTATTTCTTCATATCGAAAAAACGGAAGAGAATGAGGTAAGAAAAATATTTATTAAACTTTATACAAATAATCACAAAAATTATTAATCATTATAATGCTGTTGAACATTCTTCCACTTCTCTACTAATTGTGAAACTCCTTTTTTCTTCATCGTTAGTCCTGGGCCCAATTTCACCTGAGAAAATAATTCTAAATAGTAACTTTTACGTTGAACAGTACTCGAGTTTTCGAAAAACTTTGCCAATCCAGTCAATTTTGATTCACATATTCACTTGGCGGATTTCCAGGTCATTAGAGGGATATTTCATTCACATTACCCGTCATGGTTAAAGTTGATAATCCCATTTCATTGTGTCTGACCGTGACGTCGTTTCCGTTTGGGTACACGTCCCCTACCTGTCTTAGGGTTGACCAACTCCATAGTAGTTGTGACGATTTCTATACATATATGTATGTCCAAAGAAAAATAAATGAATCGAATTGAATAGTTGGTGAAAGTGATCAACTTAAACTTGAATATTTGTTTACAATTGATATGAATGTGAAAAATGGAGGATATAATGGAAACATCCAAATTAAAAATGAATGGAATGGATATTGAAGTGGAGATACACGGGTAAACTGTGGTAGTGGGTAAAGTGAGAGAAATATGATTTCAAAAATTGTTAATGTTGACGTCATTATGACGTAGTTGCCTCCCACTGAAATACTCTAACCGAGTTTAACGGGGAATGTGAATGAAATATCCCTCATCTGACGTTGACTGGTTATGAAATGTCACATTTCATATATTACTTTATTCCCACGGGAAAAAATTGGGTACTTCTTCCCGGATATATATATATATATAAATATACTGTCGATGGATTTTGATGTGCTAGTTTCGAAAAATGAGCCAATAACACCATCTCCGAGAAAGAACTGCAAGTTCTTTCATCATCCATTCCACTTCTCGGTTACTCAAATTACTAAACAACCAATAAGTTCGCAATTTTTCAACATTGAATCACAGATTTACTGACAGATATTTGATTACTTCAGGAATGCCTGCAACGCAGTTGTAGTTCCTGTTAAAAACTTACAAATTTCACGTTGATGGTTTTCTGATCTTGATATAATTTAATATCTTTTCAGTATAAACTGCTATAATAGATTGAAAATCAGACATTCCTAGAATTTAGGGTTCTCGTCAACAAGGGCTAACATTATTTATTGTCCACCAGATCGCGCCACCGAAACGTGAGGTCAGAATTGGTAGAACTGATAAAATATAGTTCTTCTTTTCGTGTTATTTGGCCTCTTCCTACGATATCTTCTTCTCCGTTTATGTAAGAATTGGTCTTATAGTTTTGAGAGTAAAAAAACGTGTCTGCCATAAGTTGGAGATTTTTATTTGTTCACATATTCTGTTTTTTTTTTCGAATATTTTCGATAAAACAGGCCACAGCCTTTAGGGGTATCCGGCATATTTTTTCAATTTTTGACTCTTGACATTGACCTCGTTTTAGTAGCGCCAACTGGAGAGAGTGAAAATGCTAGCCCCCATTGTCCTGTATGATCCTCAGCTTATTTCATTCTCTTCAAGGTTGTTATCAATTTCTAAATGGCAATTAATCAATTAGATTAGATCAATACCTTTGCTTTCTTCTTTTTCTTTAGAGACTCCGTTGCCATTTGAATATCACCATCTGGAGGTTTCTCTTCATTAGATTGAGTAGGTGGAAGAACTACAGCTACAGGGTCAATAGCGGCAATATCAGAATAAAACGAATCCAGCGCCGAATTCAATGTATCATCCGTCGAATTCTCTGAATTTTCCTACAAATGAAACAAACATTCCACTACACCTTTTCCAGTTGTATTTCAGAATAGTCAATTCAATTTCAGAAAACGTCAATTGAATTTTAATATAGTCCCTTTTGTTTCAGAAAGCATCAATTGTATTTCAGAAGAGTCAATTGAGTTTCAGAAAGTGTCAATTGTATTTTAAATTAGTCACTTGTATTTCAGAAAGCATCAATTGTATTTCAGAAGAGTCAATTGAATTTCAGGAAGCATCAATTGTATTTCAGAATAGTCAATTGAATTTCAGAAAGCATCAATTGTTTTTCAGAATGGTCAATTCAATTTCAGAAAACGGCAATTATTGTATTTTAATGTAGCCCCTTTCGTTTGAGAAAGCATCAATTTTATTTCAGAAGAGTCAATTGAAGTTCAGAAAGCATCAATTGTATTTTAAATTAGTCACTTGTATTTCAGACAGCATCAATTGTATTTCAGAAGTCAATTGAATTTCAGAAAACATCAATTGTATTTCAGAATAGTCAATTGAATGTCAGAAAGCGTCAATTGTATTTCAAAATAGTCAATTCAATTCCAGAAAATGTCAATTGTATTTTAAAATAGTCCCTTCTATTTCAGAAAGCATCAATTGTATTTCAGAAGAGTCAATTGAATTTCAGAAAGCGTCAATTGTATTTTAAAATAGACACTTGTATTTCAGAAAGCATCAATTGCATTTCAGAAGAGTCAATTGTATTTCAGAAGAGTCAATTGAATTTCAGAAAGCATCAATAATTGTATTCCAGAATAGTCACTTGTATTTCAGAATAGTGATTTGAATTTCAGAAAGTGTCATTTGAATTTCAAATGCCAGTTTTTCTCGTAAAATTACTGATTGGAAAATGTTTCTCGTTACAAAGAGAAATTTATCCGATAAAAAACTCTGTTGATAACACATCATTTTATGACTTCAATAGGACAGGAACGGCTATCAGATTTTTCAGTACTGTCTATAGAGGCAGAAAATCTCGAAAAACTGAAATCGTCTTCAGCTATGGATGATTAAATGGTTAGCCAAAAAAGGCGAGAAAATGATGAATTTGAATTGCTTCTTGGCTCTTGGGAGTATTAATTGTAAATTATTACCTATAATCAATATACAGGATTCAGTATCAAGATTTCATGGACTTATTTTTCAAGTTGGAATATGCCTTTCCTTCATTAATATGTGTCCACAAACGCTTAATTACCGATATACAGAGCGTCGAAGTTTCAAGGTTTTTTTTTTAATTTCCAAACACTTATAAAAAGTCGAGGTTTGTCAAGTTTTGTATTTTTCCTGTAATGTTTAGAAACTTGTATGCTGGTGCAAGACAGTATATCTCAGCGTTGCCAAGCCTCATCAGTTGAACTGGGCTAGCTGACAATCGATTCACGAAGGCTACTACTATATTATTTGAAGTCAATCAAATGCCTCGAAGGGTAGGAGGTCGATATAGTCCTAAGAGCCATCTAGTGGTGAAAGTGCAAAGGTGTATAGGTAGATTGTATTTCATGATTACCCTTTATAAGCTTTTATGATGGCAAAATTTAGTCTGGTTGGTGACTGGAAAAGTCTCAAAATTCTAGAATAATACTCATCGGGGTTATTGGGTAATCCCAATGGGTGTTTCGAGGGCACCTACATTGAAATTTGGAATAGAATCAATTTTCATTATTTCCTCAGAAACTAAGTCAGATACAAAAATTTAATAAAGGACAAGAAAGTTGTATTCTCAACCTTATTTGCCATAAATATCGAAAAGGCAACCCACTGCGACGCTACTGGACTCATTATTTCGAATCAATTTACACCAAAAGAAGCTTCTTGATATTGTCAACAAAATCACCAAGTTCCATTGAAATTGGAAAACAGAATTTTGAGTAATTAATAAAAAAAAGTTTCTTATTGAAACTTTGACACCGTGTATCTTGAACATGACCTTTTCCTCTTAGAATCACCCAAATAATCGCCCCTTGAAGTTTTGCCACATACTTAAAAATCCCCCCTTGTAAAGCAAAGCTTGTTATCAGTTATTCTCGCATGGTCAATTTGGTGCCTTGATTAGAGCTTCACTCCCAGAGTGATCAGGGGATCGGAAAGTTTTTTGTTTTTCGTCGAGGTGGTTGAAATCCTCAATGGATATCATATGGGTTTAATCCCCCATTTGATAGTGTGTCTGACTCCAAGGTATACCCACTAAACACTCCACCCCGTTTGTAGGCTCATCTGCCGATGTCTTCGACGACACTTAGGCCTAGGGGTCCATTTTATCTCACCCACATGCCGTTATCAATTTTACCATATACGACTCATGGTGCTTGTTAAGGGCCACTTTAATATGAATGACCCTTTGCGTTCAGGTTCTTGAAGATTACTCTTCCGATCCCTGTTCTCGTCTACGAATAAGGCCAAAACTAGTCTTTCTCCTACGAGTAACGGGGGAAGGGTTTGGTCCAGCCCTGTGGTGCACCCGCACAGCTGAGGCTGTTCACTCTGAGATGTGGCCCTGTTTCCCAGAGGCCCCATTAGCGACACCATACCTCGGTGCCATTCATCCATCGCCACAAATTATAGTCCCATCTGACGCAAGACAGCAATGATGGTCCCAAAATGCTTCAGCTGCCGAGCGGCTGCGGTCTGTCCCCCCCACACCACTTAATGGGTGAGGTTGGGCTTGGAAGGGAAGAGGAAAAGAAAAATTGCCCAAGGAAGACCGATAGGATAGATTGAGAAAGGAATAGATAAGAGAATATCACCCAAGAAAAGTTGAAGTTTGGTGAATATCCGGCTAGGGTACCTCGGGTTCACTATTCCCGTACTCAAAAGATGTGAGCCCCTGGGGAGCAGTTCCTTTTAGTTCTCTTTATTCGTCGCTTGGTCTATTATTATTGATTCCGCCATGATTCATACTGGCATGGCGTGAACACATATCAAAAAGGGAGCAACTCCTCAAGATGGAATCGACGACCCTCCATTCCAATTATTGTTAATACAAAATAATAAATTTATAATGCAAAGCGAACTGCTAAAATGTGCGGTGGGTTCTTGGCCGTTGATGGCTTTAGATGGAACGCACCTAATTTAATATCTCGTCGCTAGTGTCGTATTCTAAAAGCCGACTTCACTCTAACCGTCAGCCGTCACATGCAGTATCAATTATTCTAATGTGTCAGGTTTTATTGGACATAATATCGAATATTTGTCATAGAAAAATAAAATAGTTTTGAACACTACTATTTAAGCTATATATTTTTTATGCCTCGCCACAATCATTGGCGTCTTTGAAACGGTGAATGATAGGTATAAGGTTGAAAAAATTGGACAAAATTCACTTAATTTAGGGGTCAATCAAATCATGTCTAGAAATCGATATCACGAACCGTTTGAGGAATATACGTATAACACTCAATGGTATAACAAACTTTCTTATTCTCTTTCATATTTCTTTTCATATCCTGTGTTTCATTTTTGATAGGACATTTGTTCTTTGATGGGTCCCCTCAAATACAATTTTCAACCTTGATGGTGGAAGCGTTGCATTCAGGAAGGAGAGGGGTAGTAAATTTGATATGAAGGTCAATATCCCAAAAAAATGAGGCTTACAGTGCCCCTCAAACGAAATTTATTGAAAGCTGTACAGCTAAAACAGTTCGTAATATTTCTGATTTTGTAGATATCATTTAATTAGCATATATGATATAAAACTTTCGTCTTCTTCAATTAACTAGAGCATAATCAATATAATTTTCTACTATAATGGTAATGCCGTTCGTTACATTAAAAATTACCTGAGGCTTAGGGTAAGCCACCATATCCGGTAGATCAACACCTGGTGGAAGAGGTTCTCCATTATCGGCGACTTTAGGAAGGGGTGGTTGTTCAGGTGGAAGAGGTACATCTAGAAATTTCAAAAACAAACAATCATAATATAATATATGTGAATCAAGCATTTTTATCATTTCCTTCATACATAATGGTTCGCATTTTTGTACAGATCCTTAAGAAGCACATGTGCTGGAAGAAAGTTTCACAAAAAATAAATGCTATAGGTATTCATCTATACTTATTTTATAAAGAGGAAATATTTGATTGTTTGTTTGTTTGTATTGAATAGGTTCGGAAACTACTGGACCGGTTTGAAAAATTATTTTACCATTAGAAGCTGACATTATCCCTGATGAACATAGGCTACTTTTTAACGCGGGAAAATAAAAATAAAAATACAGAAGATAGTGCGGGAATGAAAATAACTGTATGAATATAATATAATAGTAGCTATAGGTAAGTACAAAAAAATAAATAAAAATAAGAAAGAATATGTACCGACTGCAACTTGAATTTAAAGAGACGTTTGCTAGATATGACGTTTTGAATTTTCAACATCAAAAACATAGACTTCCCCGGGTTTCCCTGTGTTAATAATTTTTAAAAATTATTTTCTCTAAGTACATTTTTTTTGGTGCTGAATTTTCTCAACTTCTGAAAGATGTTTGGAAGGTAACTTCATTTCTTCATATGTCCCTGTGTTGATTTTTTTTCGACTCGTGAAAAAAGTTCGAACTTATGCTCGATTTTGAGCCAAGAGCGGTTAAACAATCTTGCTGTTATTTCTATAGAGTATGACTTTTCAAAGCAACTTGAAATGGAAAATTTTGTTGATGAATGAACCAAGACAGTTTCAAAGAAACCGTCAGATGATCGAGATTAGAATAGATGATTGAAATATTTCAAAGTTGACACAATCCACGAACATTTTATCACACACTAGCTGTCCGGCCCGCACGGTTGGAGTACCCATTAAAAAAAATGACATTTGTTGCAGTGGTTCTGAGCTAACCTATAGCTACTATTGTTCTATATCACTCCGTGTAAATGATATTCAAGATGACACTGGATAAAATGATTAGGAGAGATAGAAAAGATATGTCAATGTTATGTTACTCCAGATGAATAATAAAGTTGATTCTGAGTATTAACTTGTTATCAAACAACTATTATATATCTTAGAGTCACTATTCATGGTAGCTAGAAACGCCCTGTCGCCCTGTAAGTGAAGCATCTGGACGGATATGAGTGTTGACCTGTTGATGACACACGAGGATTATGTAAAGGGTAATCATCAGTTGTATTTATCTATGTATGAGACATTATTAAGTTAGCCGTGATACGGTCAGTTTGTGTGCGTGTAATAATTATTGCGAATATAGAGGGTAATTATAAATATAGAGTGTTTCATTCCAATAATTAATCACCAAGCTAACATATACTTACACCTATTTTCATTCTCTCAGTATCTTTTGTATATTTTTAGTTGTTTACGTATTAAAAATGTCGACCCAATCGGTCAAGCCGTTTATGTAGTTGACGTACCGACAGCAGCGCAACCTACCTCGTCCAATTGCATTTTTAAATCATCCAGGAAACCATCGAAATACCCATATGAAATTTCAACCCAATCGGTTCAGCCCACGTTCAGCCATTTAGAAGTTATGTGAAAAAGATGAGTACGGGGATAATTCTAACAACCAGTTGTTTTATTAGCCGTTTTCCTGTAGGCATGAAGCTGTTTCCCGCGATAAAAAGGAGTCCATGTTCATCAGCACTTCATTGTTTATCAGAAGAAACTACTTCAGAAAGATCTATCTATTTCGATAACACCCTGTATGAAAAATTTCTCAAATATATTGATACATTTAGCCGTTCACAATGCGAAGGCCCCGTCGGTTAGAATCCGGCTTGGCTGAACATTTATCTTAAAGTATGTAATCCTGGCAGAACCTCGATGCCCGAGAAGTGGTTCGGTTCCACTATGAGCTGTAGGTCCCGCTCTTCCTAACCCCGCACGAATTTTGACTTCTGGGCTGTTGGTTCCCAACTTCGAAGTAGCGATATACAATTTTACAAATTTTGGGAGCAAAGTTATACGGACCCTTCAAGAAAAGTTCAAAGAAAACAAACAGTAAGCATCCTTGTAGTGGAAGGTAATCTCGGAAAGGACTATTAATAATATAAAATAAATAATATTTCGGCGGCGCAAGGTACAGTTAGTTGAATATAGACTGCAGTATAGAAATGGAGGTGGATCTGGTTAGTTTGAATATTCAAGGGCAGAATGTTACTAACCTGCTGGTACTGATGTAGACACTGCATCATCATCCACACTGATTATTGGAGGGGGCGGAGGTGTGGGGCTTCTTATAGTGGGGGGTAATGGGGGTGACATCGTTATTGCCGATTCGATAGGGGGAGGCGGAGTTGTCGAAATGTCCATTGCATCATCAGAGGCGTTGGGATCAGGAGGTTGGGGATACTCCCATTGACTAGCGCCGGTGGCCAGGTTTTGATAATAATACCTTTTGTTTGACCTAAAACATCAGCAGAGAAAAGGGGCATAGAGATCGGAATAATATAACGTTGAAATTGAGTTATGACGTTGATTTTTTACTTACACGTCAATGCGTTTAGCCCAAGAATTTCGTTAAGGTATGGGATATTTTTTCATACCATCAAAATCAATGTTTTTTTCATTAGAATTGGTATTGAGAAATAAAATTATGTCTTTGTATTCATAAGTCGTTTTTGAATGATAAGTAGGTAAGTATAAAAAATATGTACGGTTGATAACATTTTCTACCATTACCTAATGGTTAACCAAATAAAATAGGATATCATTGAATGAAATTGATATTATTGATTGAAATTGAGTAACATTATGAACATGGGTAGGATTTTGGAAATGAAAAAATAATATTAAGTACAATGTGAATTTGAATATTTAAGAAGGCTCTAATCAAAACTAACACACTACATGGAGATGTATACCAAATTGATATCCACATACACTGATTACAGAATGAAAACATAAATGAAAAAAGCAAATGGGTAGCCTGTTAATAATTGATTGACAAAGTTGGACATGTAATGTATTTTTCACACGATTGTTCATCTTAAGTATTTATAGAATTTCAGAGATTTACATATTTATTTACTTAGTACAGAGAATAAATCCAATTCCACCCGTTGAAAGTCGAATGCCCGAAATCGTCTTCCGTCAACGCACTATCAGATGCATAATGCTTGGTCTCAAAACGAATAATGCTAACGGTCCAGATCAAATTCCAGCCATTCTCCTCAAAAAATGTGCACCAGAATAGACACCTATTATTTACCACCTCGTACAAATCGGATATATTTTCATCATGCTGGAAGATAGCTATAGTCCAACCATTCAAAAAAAGGAACAAGAACCTGAACAACTACCTACATGTCTATCGCCCTGTTATCAGTTATCTCCAAAGTGATGGAGAAAGCCATCAACACTGAGCTTATAAAATATCTGGAAAGGTCAGGAATAATCAATGATAGACAATATGGCTTTCGTCTTCAAAGATCAACTGGAGATCTACTTGCCTACGTCACCCATATGGAAAAGTTCATTAGAAAGACATGGGGAATCTCTGGCTGTGGCGTTAGACATATCAGACGCATGCGACCGTGTTTGGCACCATGCAAGGACTCCTTCACAAACTACCATCATAGGGCTTACCACCTCAGCTATGACATCTCTCATCGAGTTTTCTTTCAGGTAGATCACTCCACGCGATAGTGAACGGTGTATCGTCTGATACTATTGCAATCAATTCTGGTGGTCCATAAGGGTCAATTTTGGCACCAACATTGTTCCTACTGGCATACTTTCTATGTTAGCTACAGAAATATATAATTTGTTCATCACTTGACTCTGCAATCATTTTCGAATATATTATGTCTTTGGCGGTTTCACAAGTGCATAACAAGAACTGCTAGATACTTTATTCTCAACTGGAATAAACTAAGGATTGGATTTCTCCAAACTGTTCATCTAATTTTGATGATTATTTCAACCATAGGTTATTGATTCATGAGTAACGATGTTGCAGTAGACATTTTTGATGTTGGCCCTTACCCATGAACATTTTTTATGGAATCTTACTTACGTTGAAAGTTTCCCGAAATATACAGCCGTCTGCATCCTTTCCAAGTTTTACAACCGGTAGATGTGAGTTTTCAAGAATAAAATTTCACTTGGTAAAGAGCCAGCTTAAACATTCTAGTTGAACAAGAAGTGAATCTTTCATTGCAAAAATCCATACCCATAATTATAAAATCTGGCTCAATTTCGACACTTATACTGTACCTGCAGGAACATTACTTATTACAGTTCAAAAATTCAACAAATTAGAAAAGCTAAGGAAAATATTAATGTTGCTTCAAATCGAATCCGCAAGTCTTCTAGCTGGAGATTGCACATCTTGAAGGGCATCTTCTTTGGTTGTAACCTATACATAAAAATACATCAATATCGAAAAAAGCTCACAAAATTATGAAATATGATAACATAAATAACATGTCATAAAATATTAGGTATATCAATTTTACAAACCTTCCAATAACAGAACTTTCGACTTTAGAACAATCGTAAACAATTTCAGAATGTGAATGTATCGAATATCCCCAGAGAAAATAGAGAGAATACAGAGATATATATAAAGAAGTTCAGTTTCTTGTAGCAGGAACATGAAATTTGATAGATCTCATTTTGAGAGATTTAGGCATGTTAAGTGAACGACATAATTCCTGAACTTGAAAAAATAAGTAGTCATTGTTGAGTGAAAACACAAGAATCTGCAAGAAAATTGAGGTTGGAATCACATTTTACTAATAAGACGATTTTTTTCTCCCAGGAAAATTGACATTATAGAAGCATGGAATTCGGAATCATATAGTTATTCGATGTGATCGTCTTCTCATTCTGGAATAGTGGAACCGTGTACAGGGGAGCATTCTTAAACAATTATCAGCGCCCATAATAAGTATTTTTGATCCCACCATGATATGAATACAGGTGTTGCCTCAAGAAGAAGTTCGTTGAGGAACTTTAGGGAGTTGAAGTCCATCAGGGCGATATATTTTTTTCACGATATCTCAGGTTGTATATGTCAGAATACTTTCTCATATTTTTTATACCGGGTGTTCAACAATGAATGAGTGCCACTTGACCATTTTTGATGCGTCGTCCTTTTTTCACCCACATTAAAGAGATACGTGGTTTTCAATAATTGTTGAAGACCCGTTACATTGAGTGAAATGGGAAAACCTATAGTAGAATAATTTTGAAGATTGTGACACATTGACTGGAAAATTATGAATGTTAATTTTCAAGCCTACAAAACCCCTATAGTTATTCTTTAGTGGACAGTTTGAGTTCCTATTTCTATTATAAAATAGAGGCCGTTTATTTTATATATTTATTAAGCTTTTCTTCACTGAAAATAAATTGGGAGACAATGAGATTTTTAACAAGTCATATAACAGGTGAGCATGAGATTACCAGCCAGTTTGTTATTTTCTTAATAAAATGGTATATCAATTCAACATTTCCAGATGCTTTGTACCTATTTTCTGACTGCACTTCTGATGTCACTGGAAGCGCTATCAACTTAGATATTTCAAATTTTGATACAACGAAAATTGTTTGGAGAAATCGACGGACTATGTCATATTCTCATATTGATTTTTGATTTGAAATATTGCTGAACTTTTCAGTATTGCCAGTATGTCCAGAGCTCCTGAGTTAGACATAGAAGTACCAAAAGAATATGTGTGGAATAAAGGAATGTTGAAAGTAAATTTTAAACTATTTGGTTAAAATTATTGAAGTACTGCACTGAGCCTAAATGTTATACAATATACTAGTAAACAGAAGAGAAAGATCTTTCACTAGAGTTGGAAATACACAGGGTGTTTTCTTTGAAAAAAAAACATTTGATTTTCAATTTGATTTCGCGATTCGCATCTGTTTGTTTGAGAAGTGCCAAAAGATAGTACAGATGAAACTTCGAAACTTTCATATTTGAAGTTTTTTTCCACCTCTCATGATTTTGTTTATAATGAGTATGAAAATTTCGGCAAGTCTAATTTGATATATCGAAGTTAATTATGGAAGAGAAAATCATAGCGAGTTCTCAAAATCTGAATTAGAAATAATAATAAAGAAAGAAAATTACAATCTGGCTATAGTACTCTGTGATTACCCGATTTTTCCCCCTCAAATCCCCCCCTACGTGAAAAATAGTTATTTATATAAAAGGGAAAAAGTATTAGACTATAGCAAAAAAAAAACGTAAGCTAAAATCTAATATTTTCCCGTGTATAGTACACTATTTTTTTCTGTGACAGGAAAAAACGACGATTAAATATTGATAAGATATTACATTATAATAAAATCAGAAAATTTTCGATGTGAAATTTGAAATTTTCAACTGGTAGTACATCTGTGTTTGCCTGCATCTTTTTGTAGGCATCTTTATTGTTGCTATGGAAACCTTGTGAAATAATAATGTGTCCATTTAATTCTGTTTTGATTCTAAAAAATTGCGAACTCACTGTTAGTGGCTGTTTAGTAATTTACGTAACCGCGAAGTGGAATAGAAGATAAAAAGGACTTTCAGTATTTATTTTTCGTAACTGGCACAACAAAAGCCATATATCCGGGAAAAAAACTCACTTTTTTTCCGTTGGAAAAAGTGATTTATAAAAAGTCTCATTTTGTAACCTGTCAACAGAGATAAAATGTCAAACTTTTTCCGTCACAGAAAAAATAATTCAATTAGACAGAGAATTGACATTTGCGAAGTACCTTCACCATTTCATGATGTCGACAAATGGATTATCAGTGACGATTCTACTCAGTGCGGACGTATGTTTTTTTTTTGGTTTCAACTCATATTGTAGAATCTATTGATAAATTCAAGTTTTGGGGATTCTGGTTGAATGATCAAATATAAATATATACCCAAAATACCATTGATACTTAGAATAGTCTAAATACGTATTTCGGCAACCAAGTGGCCATCCTCAGTAGAACTGAAAAAGATATGATGTTTGGATGTATCTAGTATCTTTTGTGACATTCTCAAGGCTCCCGCTGGTAATTTCTGAGGAATATCCCGAAATATACTGATTATTCAGTTCTTTTGAGGATGGTAACCAAGTTTCCGAAATACATATTAAGGCTTTTTTGTGTTCGGAACAAATGATAATAATGAAAAAAAAATCATTCCCCGGCGACTACTATCATCATAATGCAAGAGTATATGCATTCGTATGATTTAGTGTTTTTGTCTGATGAAGACATTATATGCAATATGATAATACACAGTGTGTCCGACTTTAAGTGTAACCACTCTTTCTAGTATTTTGTAGTAAAATGAAGGATTGAAATGTTTTCTTCCAAATGTATTACTCAGATGTAATGAATTGCGTTTCCTTCTATGGTCGGAATTACATCACAGAAATCGAGAAACTATATTGGGCATGTTTTATT